CATTCTAGTTACAGGTAAATGATGATTTTGATACTGTGCCTTCATTCAAATCAAAACTTGTTCTACCAGTGTATTTAAATACAATGTGTAAGCCAAGAACGCCCAATGCCTTAAGAGTTTTTACACAACTTTTCATAATTTTTTCTTATTTAAACCTTGTCCATGCAAACTGTCCATTTTTCTATCATTAAACAAAATGACAATCAAATTGTAGCAGACCCATCAAATTGTAGCTCGACAATCTTAGCATTTTGCCCTGCGGTGGGCAATTCAGGTTAACTGAGTTAATGCAGCACCAGAAAATTATGCTACAATTGGACTCACTGTTCCTAGGCTATAGAAATGGGAGGGAAGAGACAAATTTGCCAGGCATTGCTTCTTCTCAGTCAGATTTATGCGACTGTTGATTACTATCCAGTGACTCTTCTGTGAAGCACGCACACAGACATACTGAAAACAAAATTGGCCTGAGCTGCAATGCCCCACTGGTGAATAGCCTGCCGATGCTCACAGCTGAAGAAATCAATGGGATAAAGGTGTCTCTGGAACCACACTCCAGCATCTACATAAATCGAGATACTCAAAGGATGCTTTTCAACTCTAGGTTAATTACAATTTTTCTCCTCACTGTTTGAGACTTCTCCGGCACAAACACCAGCAGACAAGGTACAACAGCAGGCTCAACTTCTACCTTTCCATATTTCAGTTTTTAAAATCAAAGAAAACATTTTATATGTGATCCTTAACTCAAGAAATGTAACATGTTCAAAAGGCTAATACTGAGGTTAGCATTACAGCACATTTTGCAGCTTTTTTTCTTACATGAAGCCAACAGGATCCTAACTGAATAAGTCCAACACTTACACTGCGGCTCATGTGACTGAGTCTTTGATGACAACTCAGTACAGGGCTCATAACCCACTGTACACTTCATTGAAGTCATGAACACAAGCATAAATGAAAATGATTTACCATGTATTGAAAGAGACTGGAATGTCTGCAGACTTGAGTAAGGCTGCAAAACCATCCCAACAAATGGGTATCTGTCTCAGCTGACTCCTTGACTGACCAGTATTTTTATTTAGCACCATTACACCATAAATTTAAAAAAAAGTTAACTGGATAAAACAAAAAATATAACGCATTTTCCTGATTATACAAAATTTTACTGCCTTTGAGTTAACAAATACTGATGGAACATGTTACATGTTCAATAGGTTGCATAATAACATAATATTAAAAAGCAAACACTAATATTGGAGGCAATCTAATATTAATTCAAAGCTATCCATACAACAGACTAGCTAAGAGCTTTAAAGCCAGTTTTTGTTCTGGCTGTACATGCCCCTGAGGGTTATACATGTCATAAAAGCAAATAGATGTTTTTAAATACAGCATTCATTCCACAAGAATTGGAGAGGGGGACTGGGAAGCCAAAGAGAAAGGGTGAAAACACTGAAGATATAGCGTGTAAAAGTCTATAGCTGACATAACTACCATGCAATCTATTGCAAGAGCACGCACTCATGGAAAGGTTATGGAATATGGTTGGGAAGCGTACTGGCAAGCAGCCAGGTGGATTTAGAACTCCTTTAAGATCACTTGGTAGTCAGAGCATAGTAGCTGCTTTCTCTAATCTGCAGAACAGCTATGAATGATTAAAATACATGCTAGGGATGATTTCTTTGAATCCAAGTTATCTTTGCAGTATGCGGATGAAGAAGAATAAAGTTTATTCTCAACTATTGCTTTTGAAAAGAATAAAGCTCATCAGGTTCTACCGCAAGAAAAATAATTTTAACCAGGAAAAATATTTGAATCTCACTCAAATGGCATACATATTGGCATACAAATGAATTTCACATAGAAGTGAATTTGCTTCGAAAGCCAATACTCTGACAGGTTAACCAAAAACAGAGGCAATTTTGCAAGAGGAACAAAAAAATCCTATTTATTTTTGTACACCTAAGGGTAAAAGAATGTTAAAAAGTGATAAATCGCACAAGTCATCCTAGAGGAACAATAGTGTTTCAATATTAGCAAACAGTCCAAAAGATCATTCAACTCCTCTGACAGTTTTCTTAATAAAGGCATCAACAAAAATCAATTATCTAAAGTCATCCAACATTAATTAACCCTTTTTTTAAACATTATAAAGAGTACTGATAATGCAGCTCAACAACAACTGGCATTTAACTAAGTACATTTATATAGATATACAAAGAATATAGGCCTGAAGGATCAGAGCACAAGAGGAGGGAGAAGGTGTAGTTAAAGAGGTAGGTCTCAAGGTAGAATTTAAAGACAAATAGAGAGTGAGGTGAGGACACAGGGAGGAAATACAGAGCTTAAGAGTGTAGTAACAAAAGCTCAGCCATCAATGGTGGCATGCAGAATTGGCAGGGGACAAGGAGTAGGCCAGAATTAACCGGGGGGGGGGAGAAATCAGAGGCATCCCTCCAAATGTGAAAGGTGCTACAACAGATAATTCTACATTAACTGAAATTAGTTACAACTTAAAAGCTTGGTTTCACAAGACTTGTCCCAAAATAGGTTTCTGATATAATGAAATGAATAATTCCACTAATGGTGCATCAGAGGTTATTTCATCGGCACAAGAGGAATTAAACTATGTTTGTAGGTTCTTCATATTCCAGTGCCTTGGGAAGTCCTTGCGACATGAATTGTACAATTTCCTCAAATAGTGCATCAAGAACCAGAACTTTTTAAAAATAGTTGTACTGGACACCAAAAAATGTGAAATAAAACTATCTCCACTTTCTCTCTCCATAAATGTAAGCAAGAATGCATCCTGACAAGATTTATTTCCGCTCACAAGGTTACCAGAAGTTCTTTGCCATTTGGTCACTGGAATGCGTTTCATCCAGTCAATAGTTTTTATTGCAAAATGTCAGTCTCCACATAAGATTCAGCTGAAGGAAAACTAAAGCAGGGCTGTTAGGTAACAAGGCTTAATTGATCATTACTTATGGTACTTTTTTAAGTTTGGCCCAGTAAAATGTATACATCACTTCACAATAAATCAATTCAAATTTTTATTTATTTTGTTACCATTGTTAAAATTGTTAGTATCGACATACCCATACTTTCCTCTTCGACCATGCTTACGTCCACCTCACACTTCGGCTCTGTGTCAGGCTCCGCCACTGTTAAGCGCTCTGAGATGCTGCCCTGTTTGGAGGGCGCTATATAACTTACTATAAGGCTGGAATAACTTCAAAGCTACTACAATCCTCAGGTTAGAATTTTAAAAACTGCTCAAACTTTACTCGATAGATTGTGACAGCATTTGAACTTTGGTTAGATTACTCATAGGTATATCCATTACGCTCACACATAATGAACTTAAAGGTTTAAAGGAGCAGCTATTCCAACACTCAGTTGACAGCTCTTGTACAGTAGCCTGGAATTATACTACCAACTGTATCATGATGCGTGTTCATTTCATTGCCGACTGTCGGATTATTCCCAGCACTTACTTTCACTCAATACTTTCTAGATATTGTAAATGGGATTTCAACTACAAAGAGAAACATCACACTGCTACCCCCTACAAAAAGTGCACTTGTAGTCCACATTCTTTGTTCACTCCTGTTTAATAGTTTTCAAATACATGGAACAATTGTATAGATGATATAGGTGATATAGGTTTGATGGGCTGTATAACTTCCTTCTGCTCTGTAACTTGTATGATTCTATTAAGTGCACCTACAAACATAAAACTTACAGTAAAAATTCCACAGCACTCTCTGATGTTTGGATGACATTACAAGGTACTATATCAATGTCACCCTCTTACCCTCACCCAATTCCACTGGCTCCACATCCCTCAGAGGATAGAGTTCAAAATCCCCGCCCTCAAGGCCCTCAACAGCCTTGCCCTTTCCTACCTATGACATGCTAACCTCTGAACAACCTGTCTGCTCAGCAAACTCCAGCCTGTTCCACGTCCCCCACCATCGGCGGTCGGGCCTTCAGCATCTCCGCCCCCATCTTTTGGAACTCCATCCCACATTCCCTGCGTCTATATCCCCCCTTTGCCTCCTTCAAGGCACGTCTCCTCTTCAACCATGCCTTGGCACCGTCCTACCCTCCAGGGCTCTCCCTTACCCCAAACCTTCCACCAACCCCCACAGCCAAATACTGACTGTCCAACACCTTGGGATGTCCTCCCGACGCGAAAGGCGCCATACAAATGTAATTCTGTATTGTAATGTCACAATGATTGCTGTGACATTAGTCAACAACTTGAAATGTAGGCTTGAGCCCCATTCTTATTCCACATCACACAAAATTGGCCTACAATACTAGACTGGCTGTAACTTTTTTTTAATTGTAAAAAAACGTGCGGGCCCAATGCCAAACTATCCGTTAAGTTCACTTTAGTCCAGTGAACAAGTTTGGATGACAGAGCAAAGCAGAATGATCGGAAAGGCAGGATTTCTCTGGGGAAGAGACGACAGAAAGCCTTCCGCGAGTTAAAACGGGATGGAAAGAAACCTACTTACACAATATCCAGAGAGCGACCGCTGGCAATAAGGCAACGGTGGGCAGAGGGTGAGAATAAACAGGGCACCGCCGTATAAACCATGCATAAACATTGACCCACTTTCACACCCTGCCCGGCCTGCGCGTAAAATAAAAGGTTGTTTATTTGATCTTGCCGAACCGGCACGTCCTAAAGTTAGTGCGACAGGAAGACGCCGCCGCTTTTACGGAGGGGGGGGAGGGGAGGGGGGGGGCACATTTTCCTCCTCGTTGCGAAACTTTCGGGCTGCGTTCGGCGGCAGAGCTCCGGGCGCCGAGCGGACCGACTGCGGAGGTGAGGAGGAGGGAGAAGGTTGCGCCGCTGTCGAAGGCCCGGCCTGAACTCGGGGCGAGAGCAAGCCGACAGCACCTGAGGGAAGACCAGAGGCGGGCGGGCGGATAGATAAGAGGGATAGATAGAGGGAGACGGGAAACTGGGGAGCAACACTCACCAGTATATCGCCGAGATAATCAAACATACAAATAAAACGTGCCGCTGGTTCATCTTTTCACAGTAATGGACATCCTCGTAGTCTTCTCCCGACCCGACTCCCGGTTTTCCCTCTTAACACCCCGCCCCGCCACCACGTCCGGCGTCTGCCATCCCCCTCAATCCATCACGAGGGTTTCCATGGGTAAAAGCCCCTGTGGTTCCCGTACAGAGGAAACCTCTCCTTCTTACCTCCCTCCTCTCTCTCTCTCTCTCTTCCCCCCCTCCCCAACCCCGCTCCTGCTCCCCGTGAGTGTACGACTGTGTGTGTGTGACTGGGTGCGCGCGCAGCCGCGCTCGCATCCGTTACAGCCTCGCGCTGTCGAGTTGGAACCCCATCACCGATTTAAAAAAGCTTCCGCCCGGTGACGTGTAGCGGGGAGGGAGGGGTTGAACACGTAAGACGCACGCGCTCTTCACCTCCACAGCCAAACGCCTCCCTCCCTACCCCCCCCCCCCCATCCACCCCCCTCTCTCCTCCTCCTCCTGACGTAACAACCAGAGGCCGGGCAACACCGGGCGGACCCGCCCACAATCAGCCCCACTCCCGCCCTCTGATTGGCTCTGGATCTCGGATTTGCCTTCTCGCGATTGGTTACCTTTCCACGTCAATCAGGTCTCCCCCTCCCTCTTTTTTTATCCCCGTAACCCTCCTCGTGCGGCGTCTGTCAATGGTGGGAGTCGCATCCGGGACAGGGACCTCGCGCCAACGGGGGGGGAAAGACCGTTGGTGACGAGGAGATGGACTACAAGTCCCGGAGAGCCTGGCGCCGGGGGGGATGGTGGTGGAGTGAGTGAGTGAGTGAGGGAAGGGGGTCGTTTTTGTGGGTCGCCGCCGCCACAGTAACGTGTTAACCCTCTCATGGTGATGATTAAATGATTGACCCACCGAAAAAAAATCATTGATTAAATCCGGACCTCGGTGGTTGGTTGGGTGGGTGGGTGGGTGGGGGCGAGCGAGGGCGGTGAGAGTGGGCGGTTTGAAGTGCGATTGGCCCACGCGGTTTTACGGCACGTTGTGAGGCGAATGTCGGCTCAAGTCGACTGCCTCCGGTTCCTCGGGACACTCGCTCCGGCCCTCGGCCTCTCCGTTTGAAGATGGCGCCGGCGTCCTGGATGCTCGCCTCGCTCCTGGTCGGCCTGGTCCGGGTGCGCGCTTCTCTGGGTTTCTCGCAGTCCATGGACAGTGACTTCACTTTCTCGCTGGCGGCGGCTCAGAAGGAATGTTTCTACCAAACTATGAGGGAAGGGGCCACCTTGGAAATAGAGTATCAGGTGGGGAAAGACGACAGCGGGAAGGGTCTGTGTCCCCCCTCACCCCCACCCCCACCCCACCACCTCACCCCGAGAAAAACTTGTGTGTTTTAGGGGAAAAAATTATCTGCAGTATATTGTGTTTGATGTGAGAAAAACTTTTGTGTTTTAGGGGAAAAAAATGATCTGCAGTATATTTTGTGTTTGATGTTGTACTGTACTGTGATGTGGCTGTTATCACACCCCTTCCTCAAAAAAACGCACCCTCAATCCCTCTCGTCGCTCTCACCCGTCTCCGACCTTCCCTTCCTTGACCAAAGTCCTGGTACGCGTTGTCGCAGGTCAACTTCGGTCAACACCTCTCCCTCCTCCAGCCCCTTGCAATCTGGTTTTCGCCACAGCACAGAGACGGCACTTGTCGAAAGCCACAAACGACATCTTCTCTACCTGTGACCAGGGCTCTCTCCGCCTTGTCCTCCTGGATCCCTCAGCTGCGTTCGGCGGTCGACCAACTCCTTCCTCCTCCACTGCCTCTCCTCCCTCGTCCACCTTAGTGGGACCGCACTCGCACGGTCCACGTCCTAATTAACCAACCGCCTCCATTTCATCTCGGCAAATGGTTTCTCCTCCCGCCCTCGCCCGGTCACCTGTGGGGTACCCCAGGACTCCATCCCCGGCCCTCTTCTTACATCTTATCTATATGCTCCCTCTGTGCGATGTCATCTGCAGACAAGGGATAATGTGTATACACACAAATCTACTTTGCCTCTTCCAGTACCAACACCAGGTCCGTTGATGTTCTATTAGCTTGTGTGGCAGACATCAGGGCCTGGATGAGTGCAAACTTCTTTCAGCTGAATGTGGACAAGACAGAAGCCATACTCGTTGGCTCAACGTCTTCTCTCCTGCGGATCTAAACTTGAGGCTCTCCCTCAGACTCACCGAACCAGTGCACAATCTAGGCATCCGATTCGACCCCCAGCTGTCCTTCTTCCCCCACATCCGGTCCCTGACAAGGATTGCCTGCGACTATACCTTACCCAAAATGCAGCCGAAACCCTTGTGCGTGCGTTGGCACCTCCCGCTTGGATTGGTGGGATGTGACTAGTGGAGTGCCACAAGGATCAGTCCTTGGGCCTCAGCTATTTACCATCTACATCAACGATCTAGATGATGACATCGAAGTTAATATATCTAAATTCGCGGATGACACAAAACTAGGAGGAAGTGTCAACACAGAGGATGACATTAAAAAAAATGCAGCGAGACATAGATAGGTTAGGTGATTGGGCAGGTAGGTGGCAGATGAAGTATAATGTAGGGAAGTGCGAAGTCATCCACCTAAGTCGTAAAAACAGTAGAGCAGGTTATTTTTTAGAAGGGGAGAGATTGGAATGTGTTAGCGTCCAGAGGGGCTTGGGTGTCCTTGTACACCAATCACAGAAAGTTAGTCTGCAGGTGCAGCAGCAATTAGGAAGGCGAACGGTATGTTAGGATTCATTATGAAAGGATTAGAGTATAGGAGTAGGGAAGTCTTGCTGCAACTGTATAGGGCCCTGGTGAGACCACACCTGGAATACTGAGTGCAGTTTTGGTCTCCTTATTTAAGGAAGGATGTACTTGCCTTGGAGGGGGTGCAGCATAGATTTACTAGGTTAGTATCAGGGATGAAGGGGATGAGTTACGAGGATAGGCTGACCAATTTGGGCCTATATTCTCTAGAATACAGAAGAATTAGAGGGGAACTTATATAAACCCATAAGATCATCAAAGGGCATGATAGGTAGATAGTGGGAGATTGTTTCCCCTGTCACAACCTTAAAATCAGAGGCCAGCCCTTTTGCACTGAGTTGAGGAAGAACTTCTTCACTCAAAGGGTGGTGAATGTATGGCACTCGCTACCCCAAAGGGCTGTTGGCGCTCAGCCCCTGAACATATTCAAGACTGAGATAGATAGATTTCTTATTGCAAAAGGGATTAAGGGTTAGGTTATTAGCTGGAGTTAGATTAGAAGATCAGCCATGATTGAATGGTGGGGCAGGCTCGAAGGGCCGAAGGGCCTACTCCTGCTCCTACATGTTATGTTACTCAAACGCACTTTTCGCCAGTCTCCCCAGCTCCACTATTCAAAAGATCCAGCTCATTCAGAACTCTGCACCTGCATGCCTACCCGGACCAAACTCTGTACCCACATCTCACCAGTTCTGGCCAGGCTCCACTGGCTCCCCATCACCAAACGGATCAACTTTAGGATCCTCACACTTGTGTTCAAATCCCTCCACTCTCTGGCACCTCCCTACCTCCTCAATCACCCATCCACCACTTGGCACCTCCGCTCGACTGGTACTGGCCTCCTGCTTGTCCCTCACACCCTCCACCCGAGGTTGCGCTTTCAGCCACTACATAAGCTATATAAGTGCAAGTTGTTGTATGTCTCCACACTGTGCATGCAGGTAGAGCTCCCTTTAGTTCTTAACCAAAATCAGACCCATAGAAAATTCATTTAGCAGGTTTTGAAGATGATCAGTCATTCTGATAAACAATCTCTGCTTCAATCGGTTTGTCTTACACGAGCTTGTGCGTCAAGCCTACAAAATGCGGTCACTGCACTTTATCTGTGTTGTCCTGTGAAGTTCTTTGAGATGTCCTCCTGACCTGAAAGTTGCTGGATCGAATGTAAAGATGATTCTTATTGTTGTAGGTTTTAAATCCAAGGTTTTACTCTGTGAGAAGTGCTTTGAGATGTATTCCTGAGCAGAAAGGAACTATATATAAAATAATAATTAGATATGGTATTTGATATAGTGTTTTTCACATTAGCAAGTCGCAAATCGCTTCACAGGATTTACTGTAAAGTGTATTGACTGTATATTTTATAACCAAACATGACAGCCAATTTGTGCCCGGGATTGACCCACAGCTATGAAGTGAATGATCAGTTGTATCTGTGGATTATTGATCAGGGCAACAACAATTTGCACTTACATAGCGCCCTCCACGCTGGGCTCTTAACAATGGTGGAGCCCAAGGCCGAGCCAGGGAGAAGGGGAAGGTGACCGTAGGCGCGGTCGAAAAGGAAGGTCTTCAGGTGCCACCAGAAGATGGGAAAGGAGGGGTTGAGGGAGGGAGTTCCAAAGTTTCGGGGTGTAGTGGCTGAAGGCACAGCCTCCGATGGTGGAGCAGAGAATTCGGGGGACGTGGAGGAGGCCAGACCCAGTAGAGCGGAGTCAGCGGGCATTGCTGTGGGGAGAGAGGTTAGAAAGATAAGGGTTGCCAAGGAATGGAGGAATTTAAACACTAATGAGTATCTTGAAGTCGATCCGCTCTGTGACAGGGAGCCTGTGGAGTTTGGCAAGGACTGGAGTAATCGGTGTACGATGCTTGGTGCGGGTAAGAATGCGGGCAGCGGAAGTTTTGAATGAGCTGGACTTTGTGAATAGTGGAGGAGGAGAGTCTGGCAAGGAGGGCGTTAGAGTAGACCAGCCAAGAGGTGACAAAGGCATGGACAAGGGTTTCAGCAGCTTTTGGGGTAAGGTATTGTCAGACAGGCAATGTGGCAGAGGTGGTAGAAAGCGGTGCTGGTCACTGGGGGAAAACTTCCATCTCCTTTTGAACAGTATCATGAGATCTTTAGCATACACCTGAACAGCACGGCACCTCCAACAATGGAGACTTCAGAGTGTGTGTGAAGTACGGACTAAGCGACTAAAACCGCAGAGTCAGGCAGTGGCAAGCTTCCATCTGTTTGAGTTTACTTAGTTGAATCGAAAATGAGAAGGTATCCTTAGAAATAATAGGTATCTGTGTCAATAGCCCTGGTTAAAAATTGAATGGGTCATTGTGACCAGTGTTGTAAAATGTCAGAGTGAACTGAGATGGCCTAACAGCTCACAAGACATGCCATCAGTAAACTTTGGGTCTTTTGCAAATCACAGAATATTAAACACTTAATAATCCTTGCATTTGATATAGCACCCTATCACATCGTTGAGACATCTCAAAGCACTTCACAGGATACACTGTAAAGTGGATTGACTTTTTTTTGGGTGAACCCTGGAAGGCAGTTGTGTATATTGGGGGATTGTTGGCCAGAAAACCAAGAGAAACTCCCCTCTCTTTTCGAAAAATGCCACGGGATCTTAGACTATATGATTCCATGACGCCCCTCTGGGGTTTGAATCCACAACCTTATGACTCGAGAGTGCGATCACTACGCCAGGCTGACACACAAACCATTTCCCTCAAGAATGCGATCTGCTAATCAACTAGCAACAGATTCCTACTTACTGCTAAGTAAACAGGCAGTTAGGAGTAAGGAAAGTTGCCTAAGGTTTCGCCCCACCCGGGAATCAAAGCTGGGTCCTCGAACTTGTTATAGGAGATTCCTTTATTTTAAAAAAATTGTGAAAATAATGCTTCTCTAACAAAACATTTTTAATGAAATTTGCAAGGAGGCATTCTCTGGAACAAATCTTATTTTTACCTGCAATCTACAAAAATAATTCTCAGTTTACCTTTATTAAAGGAATCCAAATACATTATTTAAATATTGTAAATTACACTTGAGTATTGCAGCTATAGAGAAGCTCAGTTGTTATGATGAGCAATGAGTTTCAAGCATTTCAGTTAAATTGAAAGAATTAAAAAGTGTACATTCCCATTTGCCCCCAATTATTAATGATTCCATACACAAGCACGATGAAATACTAATTTGGAGAATGGGAGTCCAAACCATACCTAGAAAATATAAAGGGAAGCAGTAGGTTCGATGAATGTGGACATGGCATATAAATATTTTATTTAATTGTAAATTTGCACCCATTTAGATGACTAGACTGCACATGATTTCAGCCTGCATCAGATTATCTAACGTCTGGCTAGGAGTATCTGGAACTATATCTAGAAATGAGACGATTGCAAATCCAATGCTTCTATATGATTACTGATGTTCACTAATAATCTGCAGTTGATGTTGGCTGAACATCTACAAAGACGAGAGCTTCTAATCTAAAATTCTGAACCAACTGATAATGTGGCTCAGGGAAGCTCTCCGAGACGCCATCAGGTTTGTGTGAAGAGTGTGTTATAAATGCAAGTTGTTGTTGTAGTACTGAGGACTACTGTTCATTTTTAGCAGCTATTTTCATAGAAATATTAAAGTATACAAACAGGACCAGGATTCTATAAATTCATCCTCTTAATCTCAATTTAGCATGAAGAAAGTTCTCAGACATAATTAAGATTTTTTATTTATTCAGAAAACGTTTAAAAATATTATTCATGATTTATTGTATTATTTAATAATAATCCTTGCAATTTTAATCCACAATCTTATAACAAAGAAACACCTGTAGAGACCAAAAATGTGTCTGGTAGCTCAGTGCAGTACTAATCTATAGTCTGCAAGTGGATTTAGCTGATGCATCAGTGTTTAATGCTGGTACATGTGAATTTAATAGATTTACATTAACAAATTGGTAAATTGTGAAAGCACTGTACTGCTAAATCGCTCTGTTCGCATAGTGAACTCCGATTCATTCAGTGTAATATAAAATGGGATTCTGTAATAATATTTACCTGTTTTGATTGAACACCCAATTGCGTTTATTTTTTCCTTAAAGCACTAATCCTAGCCATTATAGCCGTTTAAGCACATTCTATTTCCTCCTCTAGGTGATTGCTGGTGCAGGATTAGATGTGGATTTCTATCTGGAAGCACCAAATGGAAACATCCTGCAGTTTGAGCAGAGGAAAGCTAATGGCGTACACAGGTAAATAAGCGATTAACACATTTTCACGACTGTTCCATTTGAAGTTCAACAAAGTTCCCCATTAGCTTTGTGATGGCTGCATGTCATAGAACCTTTGTCCTGTTAAGATAATGATGTGTACAGAGAGACATAAATGTTTACACAAATCTACTAATGGAAAGTCCCAAACTTTCATGTTTGTTATTGATTTGGTTCTCAGTCCTCTTTGCTAGCCTGAAACCCCTGTTGGAATATGTATGCATACTTCCAACATTGGTTGTAAACAGGATTGAACTGATCAGACACAGGGCTGTGGAAACAATCTGGAGTTGGGCTGACAAGTGGCAAATACCATTTCATGTAGAATATAGTAGAGTAATATTAATAAGGAAGAATAAAGAATGGGACAGTAAACAAAATGGTTAATTCCACAGGACAACACAGGAGAAGGATTTGGTTTATTCGTGAATAGAAAGATCACTGAACCCATCAGAACAGTATGCAGTGATTTCATATATAAAAAAATGAACAGGATCCTGGTAAAGAGCTGAAGGAATAGAGCATGGGTCACAGGAAATAATAAAGAATTTATACATAGAGGGCCCTGAACAACCCTACCTGAAGTACTGTTTACAATTTTAGTTACCATTAGTAAGTACTCTTATCTTTAGATGGGTGCAGTGAACCCTAATTAGTTGTAATTTAACACCCAAGTTATGCGTGGAGATTGCGTACAATGGGAATACAGTATTCACACTGAAGAAGAAAGGCTCAGGCAATCTTTTTGAAGTACCTAAGATTCTGAAGGGCATAGATAAACTAAATTCTAATATGTTTAACATAGTCAACAAATCTAGAATAAAAGACCATGGCCTTAAGTATCCGAAGAAGGGAAGCAAACTGGTAAATCAGATTCAAAAACTGAAGAATTTTTTTTTCGGTATCTTGGCCAACAACCCCCCCCACAATAATTATTCATCCTGTTTGTGAAATCTTGTTGGTGCAAAATGCGTGCTGCTTTTGGTTGAAAAAGCAGGTGACTACACTTGACAGTAATTACGATTTAAACATTTTTAAGATGTTTTGACCTAATAATAATAAATATAATCCTTGCATTTGATATAGCGCCTTATCACTTATTCAAAACATCTCAAAACGCTTCACAGAATATACTGTAAAGTGAATTGACTGTATATTTTGTGGGCGAAACACAGCAGCCAATTGCGCAAAGCAGTGTCCCACAAAGCTTCGTAGATTGAATGATCAAATTATTATTTTTTTTAAAAAATTGTTTGAAGGGATTATTACCCCTGGAAAAGTGATCCGCTAATCGACTAACAACTGGGTTCCTACTTACTGCTAGGTGAACAGAGGCTTGTGGAGTAAGTAAACTTGTCTAACGTTTCACCCTGCCTGGGAATCAAACCCAGGTCCTCTCGCTTGCAAGGTGAGTGCTCTAACTACTAAACTACAGGAACTAATAAGGCAGATAATATGCAAATTCAAGATCTTTTCTATTACCAGTTTACAGTACAGGTATGGATGCAGTGAAATAATATGAAATGGTAACAGAAATTAATTTTCCTCCTTCACTTCCTGCATTACTTTGCAACTGTCTGATATTCTGAAGATTATTTAAAAAAATAACCTCCTCCATTTTTCAGCGTCGAAACTGAGAATGGAGACTATATGTTCTGCTTTGATAACACATTCAGTTCTCTCTCTGAGAAGATCATCTTCTTTGAAATTATCCTGGATAACATGGAAAATGAGAATGAATCATCAAGAAGCTGGGAAGAAGTTGTATGGGGAGGGGAACTGCATGATATGAAACTACGGGATATTCTAGTAAGTACATATTCCTTTGAGATGAACTGCGGTTGACCCGCATTGTTGACCTGTCTTCAAACAATCAAAATGCATATTTTTATACAATCTACAATCCAAACATGTCAGTGTATTTATTGATCAGATTAATAGTCTTGTGGGTCCCACTGCAAGCTGACAATTATTGGCTGCTTTGGGCAATTAACTCAACAGAAAAAATTCTGTGGACTGTTTGTCAACTACGTAAAAATTCTGGGGCACTGTTAATATAATGCCAACATTACAAAGGTTTCAATACAACAAATTAATCTTCACTGAGCTTATGGAGCAACATTTAAGCCATTTTTGTTAGAAAAATGTCAAATTTTGTACAGTGGGAACTAGGGAAAAGATGAGTAAAGATTTTTTTTAAATTTATAGAAATAATGATTAGAGGGAAAATGGGGAAGGATTTAAATAAAGTGATTAATACGTATTAATAAAGCCTGAAGCAGTTTTAATAAGTGTTTCTTTGAGAATCATGAAGTGAACTTCAAAAATAAACACATTGGAAAATGTGTTTAAATAATGTTTGCAATGGCATTTTGCAAACATTATATTTCTAGTTGTATCAGTGACATTTTATTTGTCATTGATTATCCAATGCCTCATTTTAGATCCTGTTCAGAGTTGAGCATGTTTTGTTATTTCAGCCACACTAGGTAATGTATCAGAACAAATGTTAACCTCGCAAGCACAGTCTACTTTCAGAGGGGGTAGGGGGAGGCTTGAGGAAGGAAAGGTTTGTGGTTCAATGCAGCTGAAAACCTGGACCTGTGAAATATAGTAAAGATTGGGAGACCATTATTTTAAATTACAAAATAGCATATTTTAAGAAGCAAATTATGTAGCTAGGTAGAAATTCTGCCACTGTTAATATAATGTCAACATTTTGTTCTGTAATTTGTGAGTTTTTTTTTGTGTGTGTGTTTTTAAGCAATCTGTGTACAACGTGAAAGCCAGGCTGAGTAGGAGCAGCCAGATTCAGGGAATGCTACGAGCCTTTGAAGCACGGGATCGGAACTTGCAAGAAGGCAACTACGATTGTGTAAATCTATGGTCTGCAGTGAATCTGACTGTGATGCTCATAGTGTCGGGACTCCAGGTGTACATGCTGAGAAGCCTATTTCGTGGTGACAGCAGAAGCAGGACGTAACACGGACGAAGTGACTATTATCGTAACACAAGATGGCTTACACCCTGCAGCATTCTCTTTCTTTTGGTGTGGACAGAGATTTTCTCAAGACCATTTTCCTTTTTTTAAAAAAAAGCTCTGTTGACTAGAAGTCCACCTGTACTGAGTGTATCATTTTGGGAGAAAAAATGAATGATATTTAGTGCCTTTGAGAAAGTCATAACAAAAGCAATTTTCAGACTAAAATTGTCAAAATAAGACTGTTACACACTGCAAAGGAAGAAATACTGTGTTCTCAACACTGGTTAAGTACTATATTCTGTGAGCCTCTATACACAGATAGTTTACATAACTAGTTTTGCAGCTTTTGTCATTTTGTGGAATGGCTATTTACAAGTCTGACATACATTTAATCTAATCGCTTGGACTTTTTTTTAAAATCCAATGAAACGAGTTTTAATGTGAAGACTACTCTCCTGTTATGAATAACATCAATTGTACTTCCAACATTTATGACTTCAGTGCAACGTAAGTCCCCTGTTCCCATATACTCAGTGGGACCAAAGCACATATTAACTTTCTGAATACCGGATCTGCCTGAATCTAACATACTTGTTTGTAATATAAGCATGAAGTTTAACAGACAGCAGAAGTTACATATTATACCAAATCTTTACACGCAGAAATGGAACAGCATGTTCTTAGCAGCTCCAATTTCTAATCTAGCCCTGTCATTTACATCATCCTCTGGTACATTTTGGGTCAAAAATTCTGGAACTTTCCAGTATAAGAAAACAAAATCATGATCCTTGATGTCTCCAAATATTTAATCAGAGCAAGCAAGGCAGTGGTCCAGGTTACTTCACTGAGGGTTGAATTACCCAGCCCCACTTACCTTCCCCCAACATTATTTTCCTTGGTTTTATTCATCAATCATGAAGTATTGTATTAACAATAAATTATTCTCTTTCTGTCTTTTTATGGGGAGGGAGGAAAGTGAAGCAGAAACACACCAATCCAACTGTGGTTGCGACCACACCAATAATCATTGTGTTAATATTGCTCTATGAATAATTTTCATGATTTTCAGTAAATTACTTGACTTCAGTATTCAGTATTTTTAATTTTAATAAAGTGAAGATATTTATACATAGTATTTGTACTTCAGAATGGAAGCCGTTTTTTTTGTAAAATTCCATCAATCCCACTGTATTATAGAAATCCTATTACCTGGAGAACCATTTGCTAAGGTTCTATTTTCTAAAGTGTTGTGAATGTTAGAGGATATTAATTTTGCAATAATGTCATTGATTCAACTGTTCTGAAGCATTAAAGTTTCTCTGTACTTAATGAACCTTCTCTCTCACACTGAAACTCCCTATTCTGCATCAGAAAATACAGTCAATTCACTTTACAGTATATTCTGTGAAGCGCCTTGAGATGCCTCGAAGATGTGATAAAGCGCTATATCAAATGCAAGGATTATTATTATTAGCACCAGAGCTACTGCTATATGGTCAGGATTGCATTTTAGAAGCAAAAACCAGATTGTCATCCAGAGATCTGCACAATACATATTACTGAATGCAAGGAGAAAAATGTCTTGGGTGTTAGTGGCAAATTTGTGGAACTTGTTTTTTAAAAAAATTAATAAATGTAACTAAGCATACCGTTAGGCTATGTTTCCTTTCTATAAATACTGAGACTTCTCACATATTTGTGTGTCAGTAGGGGTGGCTAGCACTTCATATTAGAAGATAATTACACTAATTTGTTCACTACTGTACTTCACCTTGTGTAAAGTCCTGCGTAAAGAGACTTCTGGAAGGGTAAAAAATGTCTTCCAAGCCTCCCTGCTGTCAGTATAAAGTCCGAGTTAATCTTTCGTCTTTTAAGTACTATGGTCCAACAGTTCAGGGTCGTTGCAGTCTTTTTTTCCTCCCACGTGAAAGCAGGATTTCCCAAGCCTCTGAACTAGATTGTATTCCTTGTTCGAATGGCATTGTGTTTCATTGAGTACACAGGGATGAGACTGCAATGCTAAATATTTGCTGAAACCAATACATAGAGCGGTCAACCATTTTTAAAAAAGTGCTTCATTTGTATTCAATCTGCTTTTGATATGAAGCACAAGTGATGTATGAGTTGGTGGCACAGAACATGTTACCCAACTCTGTCCAATAGCATCTTGTTCCATGTATTAAATCACAAAAGAACAAAACATTTCGCTTTTAAAGAGTCTGGTAATGTAATGATAATTAGTCACCAAATTCAGCTGTAAATTGCATTAGTTCAAAATACAACAAAAACACCAAAACTCAACTAATAATTCGTCAACTAGTTTTTGAAATTCACTGGGATAAGTAAATTCAGTTGCTTCATGCCTGTTGCTTCAACAAACAGATATATTTGAAACTAATTTATTGCAATTATTTTATGGATTAATTTGTACCTAATAACCTGGGCCAATAGAAAAGTGCAGAAATATTTGCCCCATATTTATGAAATTTACTACTTTTTGAGGAAAATTCCGGGGTGGGGTGCCATTGAGGTACATTTTACTGACAACCTATATTTTTTCACTTTATTGATAAAAACTAAACAGGAGGAAAAAACACTTTAGATTATTACAAAATATTTGTATTTCTTTAACAAGAACTGGGTGGCCGGGGGGGGGGACACCAGCGCAGGCCCAAAGTGCCTGGAGATCCACCAAAAAAACTCAGGACCAGTGTTCTGACTACGGGGCCACAGGAGCTCAGCACCTCAGGGCCCAGCACTGCAACAGACACAGATAGACGCACTTGGACACACACTCACAGGCAAATTCTCAGAGACACATACACAGACACATTGTCAGACACACATACGAAGAGACAGACAGACAGGAGAGGGACACATTCACACAATCACAAACAGATACACACACTCAGACACATTCGAACACAGATACACATAATCCTTGCATTTGATATAGCACCTTATCAAGTCTTCGAGATCTCAAAGCGCTTCACAGAATTGACTGTATATTTTGTGGGCGAAACGCAGCAGCCAATTGCGCACAGTAATAAATTTTGCAAATCCCAATTCACATTTTTCGAATGTTTTTAAAAACACCTGGTTGTTGCAAACATCCATTAATTTTGTTGTAAAATCAAATTATTAAAACACTACCAGCCATATTTTGTACATTTTGCTTTGTATTCTTACTGAAACGTTTCACTTAAATTTGGAAAGTTCTTTGATTTTAAAATCCTCCAATTGTCACTACAACAATAGCTCGCATTTATAGAGTGCCCCTCATGCAGGGTAGCATCCTAGAGTACTACTCTAACACCTCAAATGTATAAAATGCTGTGTTATGCCGTCTCTTAAAATCGTATATTTCCCTTTTCACGTTTTCCCAGTGATAATGCAGCATTGCCAAAGAGCACCCAGAGGAAATTACTAATTTAATCATTTCCAGTTTCACTTCTCGGGTGAAATGTATCTTTTTTTTAAAAAAAATAGATGAGTTTATCTTCAAAGGAAAAGACCATATAGTCTATCTCATCATCCAAGTAAATCACGTTCCTACCAAAATGCTCACCTTTACTCGAGACTGAAATGTGATCCTTTCTCACCCCATTTGAACGTTTCAGTTTAGTCTTAGTGGCACTAGGTGGCAGTGTTATATAACAACCGTGGAAGTATTCACACAGATTACTATTTTTTAAAGTTTGAAATTGTGCTCGATCTCGACTTTGCGTATACAAATTTCTACGTCTAGTTAATTTTTTTTCCAACTCTCCAAAGTTATGCTGCTGATTTTGTTGATCTGTTCTACCCAGGGTAGGGAATGGTGTAGGATTTCATAGATTTACACTTAACATTTAAGATATTTAGCTAAATTTAAATTCAATAGATTAAAGGTTCAAAGCAGATTCCTTTTAGGAGGAAATCTTAATCTAATATCTAGTCTCATCATTGTTACTTGACTTTGAAGTGTATGTTGACCAAACTGGACACAATTTTTTAAATGATGGTCTCAGTTATGATTTATAAGGGTGCCTAGGTCCCTTGTCTAGGCTTGTGTTCTACCGATTAATTTGTTTTCTCCAATATTTTATTTGCTTTTGCAACTACTTCTGTTTGTTGTGACAATGGTTTAAGGATTCCAATTTTCCTTGAGTCATCTTAACACAAACACTTCATTTATTTATTATTTTATATTTGCTATTTTATTACAAAAAAATACCCTCATCAGTGATGGTTGTTGGAGGTTAGGTACATCGGTTTGGTTTGTTATTTAGTAAATATTTTGATCTATCAGTGCACAAGCTGATACGTGAATCACTTCATAGTATTCCCACAATCACAATAAATTATAATTTGTTTTTCTCAGTTCCTTTGCTATTCTTTCATTTCCTATATTAGGTAGTATCACAATACTAAAGTCAGATGTTTCACAATTGGCTCACGAGGCTTCAAACAGCAGTGTTGATTAAATGGTTGGGGACAAGACATAGCACAGATACCTTTGTCATATAAATTTTCCAGCAGGTCTTGTTCGGCAATGTTATTTAGGAAATCATTCAGCACCACCATATCCTGTAGAGAGCAGGTAAAGGCTGATCAGCATCTCTCTCGCAGAATCTGTATAAGGTGTATTTCTGACAAACTGCTCATGGAACCTCTTCAGCTGACTTGGGTTGGATCTGTAGTTTGGGATTTCTATGAAAATTTTAAATTGGAAATTTGCAAATTAGTGCTTAAATACAGTGCAAGCAATATGATAACTGCTCATCAATGTTATCGAGATCTGAAAGAGCACCGCAGATGGAAAATCAATGTCTGAAGCTCTACCAATATTATTTAGGAAAAGATTCACCACTACCTTATCCGGTAGAGAGAGGTTGGTCATTTGGTAAAGGCTCATCAGCAGCTCTTTCGCAGAATCTATGTAAGGTGTATTTATATAGATTCTTGGATTGGGTTTGCAGTTTGAGATTTCTATGACAAATCAAAATTGAAAGTTTCCATAATTAGTGCTTAAATACAGTGAAAGCAATATGATGACTTTGCTCATCAATTCTGATTTCTTCCGAATAGGAATTGCATTGAAATAACCTGGTAAAATGCCTCTGCACTGAGCAATACTTGGTCTTTCATCAACCACAGGGTAGAGGGGCTTCAATCTGTTGGGAAAACAAGTGGGAGATGATCAGATCACCATTTTAACAAATTATAATCCAAAATACTAAAGTTTAATGATCTCGTAATAGAATTCCATATTAAATTTCCGCACAACTGCACTTATGCATTACAGTATTAACAACTTGCATTTATACAGGGCTTTTGAAGCGCTCTGTCCAGGACACTACCTGGCATGAAGGGTGCTACATTAATCTAAGTTGCTATTGTTGTTGTTGCTCTTCATGTTGGGTAATGTTTCAAAGTGCTTTGCAGAGGCGTTGCCCAGACCTAGCAGGCAGAGTGGGAGCTTGGTGGGGTTTGATGGGTGGTGACTATAGTAACGGTTGACCAAAAGCCTTCTTTAGGAGGCTTTTAAAGACAAATAGTGAGGGGAGAAGAGATTTTAAGGAGGGAGTTCCAGTTTCAGAAGATAGGGACATACTGGCTGAAGGCTTGGCCGCTAATAATGGAGTACAGGAGACAAAGAACACGCAACAAACCTGAGTTTGCTGAACATAACATTTTAACAGAATTTCAAAACAAGTTACGTAGAAATGCAAGGTGAAATGTTGCTGGTACAGATTGCGTGCTGATTTTGCCTACATAGCAATTAGTAACACTTCAAACTAACTCATGTGAAGTGCTTTGAGGCATACAAGCAATATTTTTACAGGAAAATGTCTGAAAACAATACCCTTTTTTTGTTCTGTAGTTGATACTCAGTACTTTACCTGGCTTTGAGTAGCCGACCCTTGACTAAGGGGTGGCAGTGAGGAGGTTTCTCATCCCTCATTAGCTTTCTCATCCGCTCAGTTTCACTTAAGATTTCAAGCTTTAATTCATCTCCTGGGGAAAAGCACTGGGTCCAAAGAAATATTTGTTTTACGATTTTAAGACTATCTTTTACCAACAGTGACAGAAGACAAACAGAAAAGGACCAATGTAAAGAAAATTTAACTGGATGTTTCCCAACCAACTGATCACAGCTTTGAATCTCAGAATTATCCGATTCTCAGTTCTACTTGAAAGAGATGTCAATTAGCTTCCAAACCACCAGATGGTGCACCTCGCTGTAGCAGTCAGTTTGGAGATTATATATAAAAAAAAGCCCAGTTTATGTGGCATTGTAAATAGGACCCTGATGTATTCGGATCTGATATGAACATTTTCAAAGATGGAATTGAATCAGACAAGCTTCAAAAGCAACATTGGTGACAACGGTTTTGAATGAGTTTGTGTACATAGAAACTACTAACAGATAATGTGATTCATATGGTTCCCCATAGGGGATGGGATGCACCTTCATGCCCCAATTCTCTGCCATGGCATCGCTATTTCTATCTAACTATGAGAAACGGGACACAAGATCACAAGAAAAGTTCAGGGGAAGAAGAACCTTTCGACCATTTGATTTCATCTTCACTTGGTTAACAGAGATACGGCACTTGCCCCAAGCCAACCACACACACACCCTTTGGTTTGTCTGCCTACCCTACACTCGAACACCTCCAAATAACTGGCAGAAAATCTGTACAGGAGTGCAAGTACAGGCCATCTACCATCTAACTTGGCAGAGCAGCAAAGTGGGGGTGGGAAAAAATTGAAGTGCTGAAAAACCTAACTAAACATGTTTAGTGAAAATATTGTCAAGTGCTCACTTAATTATTCAGTGCTGGTGTTCATTGTAAAGAGTAACAAAAGTTACAAAACACTGGTAACCGCGCAGTAAACTCTCAGTATCGTTTTAATTTACAAAGAAAGTCATAACATCTAAAATATGCCATGATATTGAAACAATTTAAAACCATGTGAATCACATTATCCTTTAGTCGTTCCTAATGTGTTGCAGCTTTTCCACAATTTCCAATCTACATTCCCAGGTTAGAATCTTAGCAGATCTCCAGGTAAATTACGTCATGAAGAACAAATTAACTTATTTTATTTCTGTTGTACATTTACAATACTTGTCTGAACTCTGGTAGAAATGGTTTCAGAAATACGACTTTTAAAAAAAAACTGGTACAATGCATAATGCTGTTTTCCCACAAATGAGAAATTATATAATTTTTGATTCACTTCAGAATAGCCACATTGTGTCTGGAATGAATAATAATAATAATAATCATAATCCTTGTACTTGATCTAGTGCCTTATCATATCTTCAAGGCGTTTCAAAGAGGTTCACAGAATATACTGCAAAGTTAATTGACCGTATATTTTGTGGGCAAAACGTTACACTGCACAAAAACTACTTGCATTAACCGGCACATATTAACTGGCAAAACTTTCATTTGCACAGAGTACAATCCTTACTTATTCAGTTAAAAAAAAGAGCTGTTATAAATTCCCCTCCAATTTCTTCACTTTTACCCTGAAAGCAATGGGTATTTATTGCCAGGAGTCCATCTGTATACCATCCAACTGACAATTCTTTATGGAGAGTGTGTGTTGGCAGGCTATTCCACCAAAGTGGGCAACACAGCCTTACTCAGCACACATGTGTGTTGACAGTAGAAGTCGATGAATAATAATCAGGAAGAGGAATCCTGAGTGCGCGCTTTTGCTAACCCAAGGGGCACTGTGCCTATTTGCAGTATAAACCTCTCAAGTACCAAAACCATTTAGTGGGGCTTTGTAAATAATTATAATGCAGAGCTCAAGCTATCCAAGCCACACTAAGGTATGCACAATCACTTTTTTCCTAACCAAAACAGAAATGACTCACCCGATGATGCAGCCGAGATGCAGTGCTCTGCTTGAAGGGAGAAGCCACTAAATGGTTTATTTTGGTTTTCATAGCCTCAACTACGAGAGAGGTGGCTGTGGTCAAGTTAGCCCGCAACCTTTGTCTGTGAGGAGATGGCAAGGAAGGTATATATATAATAATAATAATAATAATCCTTGCATTTGATATAGCGCTTTTCACGTCGGAAGGACGTCCCAAAGCGCTTCACAGAACACACTGTAAAGTGAATTGACTGTAAATTTGTGGGCGAACGCGGCAGCCAATTGCGCACAGCAATGTCCCACAAACAGTCGTAGATTGAAAATGCCAATTTTATTATTGTTTTTGGTTTTGGAGGGATTATTATTAGGCGTGTGGAGTAAGGAAACTTGCCCAAGGTTTCGCCCTGACCTGCCTGGAATTGAACTCAGGTCTCTCGCTTGCAAAGCGAGTGCTCTAACCACTGAGCTACAGGACTCCGACAGGTATACTACAGGTAATAAATACAAGTATAAAAAGCTAAACATTACAGCAAGAGAAACATGCTTATACAGTAGTCTGTTGCTTTAGGATATTGGAGAGTGAATGCTCTGTGCCATTGTGCTAGGATGTGACATTTTGTCTGAAGTGTTCAGATGGTGTGTTTCCATTCACTTCTGAACCATTGGGAACAAGTCCTGACCGAGGTGAGCCACATCCTTAAACAAAGTACAATAGGGAAACTTGAAAGGCACCATAATTATACGAGTTGCTCACACATGAACACAAAGGTAAGTTCAAGAACAGCATTGCTGTAGCCTGAGGACAGATTGCTCTTTCAGTTGAAGAATGGGGTGTGGATTGAGAGACCTACACAAGGGAAAGGAAGTGACTTAAAACATAGGCCCATCCGTACACATCTACATATGCTACATGATTTGCCTTATCAAAACTGGGTGTCATTGCCTAAGTGTAAAAATGTGTTTTAATTCACATCAAATGAGCTGGATCAGCTTTGATGTTCATTACCAGACACTGTTTGAATTTGCCATTATCGTACTTCGGGAAAAGATGAATTCCAAAGCTTATTCTGAAACACATCAGAGGTAGTGGTGGAGTCAGGCAATGTTACTGAGGTGGAAAAAAGCTGCTTGGGTCAGAGCACAAATGTGAGGTTTAAAAGACAGTTGAGAGTCAAACAAGATACTGAGGTTCCAGACAGGCTGTGTGAGGTTGAGTGTCTCCAAGTAGTTTGAGAAGGCACTGATAAAAAATAATAAATAATTCTTGCATTTGATTTTACGCCTCATAACGCTTATCCATTGCCTCCTCTATGCATTTGTTCGTACCTTTCAGATGGTGGAAGTCTTCCCCTCTGACCAAGATTGCTGCAGGTATAAGTAGGTTGGCCCATAGAGCGATTGGTTGCTCTGCTAATAAAACCTGTCCTTGAATCTGGGATCTTATTAATATTTATCACAGACACCTGCACAGGCAAAGAGGGTGCACACTTTTTAACATTGAAATATAATGTATTGGAAAGCAGGCAACACAATTATGAAGTGAGAAAAGTAATCAGTGGACACACAGAGTCATAGTAGCATTTTCCACAGGTGATATTAAGATATTAATGTTACAGATCCTTCATGAAATGGTGCATTACAGACATTTTAAAACATTTCACCGACTGGCAGCGTCTCTTGAGATTTTAGCTGGTGGGAGGTCCAAAATGCAGATGGGTAGGTGACATTGGAGTGAGTGTGAGTTACCACCTTCTTGCACTGCTCTCAAGGGCAATATTCACCAGTAATTGGGAGCAATGAAAGGAACATGCCACAATGATTCACAAATAACATTTAACTAAACATCCTCCTTTTCAGTATTTGACTGATGTGGGTACAGAACTGTAGTTGTTAGCTCACCTCCCCCTCTCCATGTTAGTTCCCTCACCCCCTCTCCATGTTATTTCCTCAAATGTGTGCTTTTGAAACTATATTATTCATGTCTCCCTGTCAGCTGGTCTGCTGTTACGAGTGTTGACTGTGTAGGCTTGGCAACCCCATTCTGGATTCTCTCTCTGGGCTGCTTTGCCAGTAAACTAAAATCTGTGCCATTGATTTAAAATGATCTGCCATTCAACCAGAAGTATTTAGGTATTTATCTCCTGTGGGCAGCGAAGGGTGTGGGTCTTGTCAGTTTTACAAATAACACAGCACAGAAGCTGTGATCCAAAGAACTATCCCAATTTGATAGCTGATGTAGTAAATTTCAGGCAAAGGCAGTGCATATATATGTTTGATAATTCTCAATCTATTCCCACACGCCCACCACCCCACAAGGGACGTAGTTTCTTTCCAGTCCCAAACCCTTCCTAGTGGGGGAGGAGGGGGTGTTTCAGTGTTCGCACAGGTAAGGCCAATGCTGTCCGCAAGTTGTTGTCTAAACTCTTTTACGTTTGCATTGCGAGATCGGATTTGCCAGGAAGAGCATTCGCACACGCACACGCCTAAACCCACCCACCCACCCACCCACCCACCTCTCTCCCAGTCCTGCTGAACCCACCACTCGAAAACTAGTCTTTAAAAAAGAGTTATGATCAGCTCCCGTAAGCTGCTGCGTATATATCAGTCACTACACGACGAGTTACTTTTCTTACCTTGGTCTGTGTGCAACACCTGCTGCTGTCTCTGGCAGTGCCAGTGCCAGTGCCAGGGTCAGGGTACCCCAACCATCTGCAGGGGGTCTCAGTGGCTTTGCTCCTGGTCGCATCTCGGGTCATGTCAGTCGCAGTGGAAAGCTTCAGCTGAGCCACAGTCTCCAAACCCGACACAAACCCCAGTCTTTCGGGCTCTGGTCCCGGTTCATTCCTTTCCATGTTTTTTTTTTAAAACTACGTGGGAGGTAAGTAGGGAAGGGGGTGGGGAGGGAGGGAGGGAGGGGGTGGAATCGATTGAAACACACGCTTAAAACTCCCAAAGCAAAGCAGATCCGAAAATCCCTGTGCGCAAACTTGCGCTTGGGGGAAGCGCACCCGTTCCCACACACCCCCCACCCATCCCCACCCCCACCCCCACCCCCACCCCCAGGGGGGAGCAAATCATTTACACATCGCAACCTCTCCTCTCTCTCAACCCTCCAACCCCCACCCCCCCCAGGACTTGTCAGGAGCCTCTGCTTTTCTCCCCCACAAGGTTCTTGCTCTCTTGCCTTCAAAATTTGCTAAAGCTGCAAGGGATGTGGTGCAGGAGGAGGAGGAGGAGGAGGAGGAGGAGAGGGGATGTAGTGTTGGAATCTTTCAACTCCATTTCCAGCCCAACAATAACCATGTTTTTGTATTTTTTGTAAAAAAAAAGGGTGGTGATGGGGGTGGGTGGTGGGGGGGGGGGGCAGGTTTGCACGTTTTAAATCTGATTTATTATTGTTGTTGTTGTTGTTGTTTAAATGGCTGGTAAATTACCCACTGCAAACCCCCTGCAGACTTATTCCTCCAGTTTTCTGCTGTCCCTTCTTATCTCCTGGAGGTGAAACTCAAGCTGGACAACAATACTATATATAAAAAAACAACCACCACCCATTCAGTGGCTCTGCACTAACTTATCTGAGCCATTCTTGGAATTTGCAGAGTGTGGCCACGACAGAAACGGGACAGTCAGAACATTTAACTGTTTTTTTCCCCCCCCCCTCCACATCCAACCCATTCCCACTCTGCTGCCTTCTGATTTCCCTTCTTTTTGAAATGGATTGTTTTCTTTCTTTAAAAAAAAATGCAAATTTTGATTTAAGGGATAATTACAAATACCATGGATTAAAAAACGCAAAACAAATGTAATTTTGTTGTTGTTGTTGCTGTTGGGGTTGATTAGATTGCCACTAGCTACACAAATGTTTAAAGTCTGTTCCATGTGACACCTGTGTGTAATCTAGTTTGTGGCAGAATGCAAAGAAATGTTTGCACGGGCAAAAAAAAAATGACTGGTTGCAATTTTATTCACCCCCTCTCCAATTTCTGCAATCAAAAAAAAATGAAAATAGTCATAATTTATAGCAATAATCGGCATCAGACCGAACTCAGAGCGCTGTATCCAACCTGTCCTCGGAAACTTTGCAATGAATAATGATACCTGATTTCAGTAGATCAGAGCTGTTCCAGTGGTAGTCTTGACTATTAGATCAACTGCTGAACTTGGAAAGGGTCATTCATCAGGACATCTCACATCAATACTGGAGTCCAGCACAGGCCATCTAAATTAAAAGTGGATGTAATGATTTATCTCGTCTCATATGTTGTTATTGCTGGTCACACAGCCATGGAGAACAGCAGTGTGAGGAACAATGCAGCTACTCATGTTTATTAAGCCTTCAATTCAACCATGAGATAGCATGAAATTAAACAGATGGTGCTTTTGATTTGACATACGTCTTTACCCCAACGACCCTAACAAAAAGGGAATGTTAAAATTCCTTTGTGTAAGAGAAGCAAGGCTTTTTAATATTTCAGTCATGTAATCTTTTATGTTATGCTTAGGAAAATCTCTGTGTCTTCCCAACATCTGATTTAAATCTGTCTCTTGTTGAATACCCTTTAACAATTAATATTAAACGAGTCAACTGCACTGGTCTCAGAAATCCTCTTCCCCTTTCCCTTGGTCAAACTGTTATTGTTATTGTATCCTGGTGTTTCAGGCTGTGCAGGTGAAGTGACTGATACTTTATAAAGGTGCCATCCGTCTTCCTTACAAATTGTTAAACCAATATCCTGCTTGCCTGTTCAGGTGGATGTTAAAGATCCCAAGGCACTATTCGAAAAGAGAAGGGAGTTTCTTCCAGTGTCCTGGCCAACAATCCCTCAGGTAAAATTAGTCATTCATGGCTGTTTGTGGGACATTACCGTGTGTAAATTAACTGCCATATTCTCCTCTAAATACACAGTCATAACACTTTACTGTAAATCCTATGAAGCATTTTGAGATGTTTTAATGACAAGATAAAGAGTTATATGCAAGGATTATTATCGTCCTCCTGACCATCAGAATCACTCCTTATATTTTCAATCCTGTAATTATACATTAGAACTTTTTTCACACCTGGCATTTTCATCAGTCTGAACCATTCTGCGCTGACATCATCTCATCTTCATATCTGAAGGAAGTCGATTATTGCAGCTGCTAATGTAACTTTTTTACAAAAAAATAAGCTGCTGCCTCAACACCCTCACGGTCAGTCCTTCCTTGTGGTTCCTTGCCAAACCTGCCTCTCAATACAAAAACAGAAGTCGCTGGGAACACTCAGCAGGTCAGGCAACATCTATGGATTCTGCGTTCTGCCTCTTAATACGTTTGTCAATTACCCTTTTCACCACTGTTGTAAATGGATGGTTCAAGTTGCTTGTGTTTTTTTAAAGAAGAAATTGGCCATTTTAGATCATTCTTTTCTCCTTGAAATCTAATCTTAATGATCTTGGCAAAGAACATCCCTTTATTGTGCCATTGATTTACCACCACACCCAATATCATGTTTTATCTCAAATGAGTCTGTTGGATCCTTCAATCTCTGGACTCGAGTAAGGTCTCTGTTCTATAAATATCAATATTACTTCCCTCAAGAGGCGTACTTGTGAACTTTCCCTTTCTTATTCTAAATCCACATCCAATTGTATTACATTTGCCAACCCAAAATAAGTCCTTCACTATCCTATAGCCAAAGTTTATGTGTCACATTATATAATCACTTAAATGTATCCCTTAATTGTATGAAACCAGAGAAACAGAGATACTTGCCATTTGCTCTCTTTATGGTATCTTCTTACAAATCTCCACAACAATGCACTGGCATTTATTTATACATTTCCTATAGAGGACACAGGTTGAGATTTTAAATTCAGCCATTATTAGCCATTCTGATAAAACAGCTTTCCAAAGGAAATGTATACTGGAAGAATTAAAGGCTAAATCACTGTGTCCCTCTTCACAAAAATGTCCCCCAAATAATCATGGTTCAAAGGAGAACTTACATTTGAGTCCTTAGGTGTGTGGTTCTATTCTGTTTGGCAGTAAACTGAAATTTCAATATAGCAAACTCCTGATAACTCAGTGACGAGTTATATGGAGAGGCAAGTTAGGCATATGTATAAATGCATAAATAAATGTAGCTGGCATTGTGACAGCATGATGACTTCAGTGGTAGTGACAAGTTAAGCCAGGGTAGAATTATCATGAGTTTACTGTATTACAATTCAAACCTACTATTGTCAAAATAAAAATGTTATTCTTACATAAATTTATATTTTGGTAGCATAAAAAAAATTGTAACATGTAGATTACAGGATATGATTTTGCTATCAAGGGGAAATAAAATACTTTGATATATTATTTACTAATATTCGAATATAAAAGTCTACTGGGACTACTTTTTTGTAGTTTTTTTGTGAATGCTGATTATATGATATTCCATTATTCTGTGCATTAATGCTTCTATAAAGAATTTGGTTTATAAATGAATTGCCATATTCTTGTACTATGATCACCCTGCAACTGTTGACATGTGGAATGCAACAAATATCCAAATCAATGCAGGTCATTATTCAGAACAGTTTGGTTTATTATCAACATTGAATTAAACTTTTATATACATGTAAAATAGTGCAACTGCATGACAAAAAAAAATTAAAAAATACAAATATTTTAAAGCAATATTAGAAAATTAGTCGCTTTACGAAGTAAATCTTCCAGGAACAGCTGGAGCAGGACGTCTAAACAGAAAAAAAGGAAAGGGGAAATGAGTTTGAAAAGAAATAAGCATAAAGCAAAAGACTCGGTACATGTAACCAGTCACATATTAGCATGTCTAATGGCCCACCTTGTAAACGAAGATAGGATGCTCTATGCGATGCAGTGAATTTTGCAGATGCAAGGTAAGGCAAGGACACTGCTCATCACCAATCCAATGGAAAGGAAAGGAAAGCAGGGCTCATAAAACAAATTACACTCCATTGTTTAACGTTTTTGAAAATGTAATTACCACACACAAAGAAGTAGCTACAAAAATATAATTTGTATTATAAAATATCTTACCTGCTACTGCTTTCCAGATATGCAGTGACATTAGAATACAATAAATACATTTGATTTGTACACGATAAAAGATGACTGTGTATGGGTAAAGTAAATCAAGTGGTGAATTAAGTGTCGATGTCAAGTTTGGGTTTTAAAAAGCCTGTTGTTTGTAGGAAAAGGGAACACTATAGGAGGTGAGGAATTTTGCAGCTTTGAAGTCCTCCAAAAGACTGAGTTTGTGTGCTATGAATTTTAACTGAGTTACAATTCAGGGAGAACTAAAAATCATATTAGGCGATATGTTAGGACTGAACAAAACAGCACTGCGACATTGATAAATACTGTTTTTAAATGTACAGCCTTAACAGTAATAAACCCATGATCAATTATCATTATTAAATGGTGTATGTACTGTACAGTAAACTTAACTGCAAAATACCACTCTGTAATATCAACCAGTCATGCCCAATGTCCCACAAACAACCTTGGAGAGAGTGACCATTTTTATTTGGGGGATCTGTTGGCCAGGACACCATGAAAAACTCCCTTCTCTTTTCAAATAGTGCCATGGGATCTTTAACGTCCACCTGAATAGACAGACGAGACCTCAGTTAATGTCTTAACCAAAGGACGGCACTTCCAACAATGCAACATCCCCCAGCACTGCATTGGAGTGGCAGCTTAGACTGTGTGATTCCAAGACCCCAATTACATAGCGTAATCTGAGATTCAATACAGTGTGATATTGTCTGAAGTTCTTAAGACAGGTTCCAGTCTCATAAGTTACTACCATTATCTATTCCGATATACTCACAAATACATATTTATTTTCACCAAGTCAAATTCAATTGTCACAAATGTTCTTATTTTTAAAAAGTGAGTCTCTCATAAGTATTGAAAAGATTTCTATTTTGTACAGCTTACTTGAAAAATTTTGAGAAATGAAAACCAAAGTATAAATCAATTCATTCGGAGAGAGCGGGGTGGAGGAAGCTCAATAGGTAGCCGTTCTAATAACGACATGCGATCAAAACATATGGGCAGGAAATTCAAAGGCATATTTTAAGAGAAAAAGATATCATCAAGTTATTTTTCTATTATGAGTATCGTCCAGCATATTCAGCAATGTACTTTCAGAAACAAATTACGATCCCCTAGGTTTGGTAATATATTGCTTCATTTTAATCCTAAAAAAGGACAGAATACAAAATCTTTTTTTTCTTTTATTTGTTTGACTGATATTTGGACTTGGCTGTTTTCTTGAAGGTTTCAGTCTTGGTTATCACTTACTAACTTATATCTAGTCAAGATTAATAAAAATAAAACAAAAATATAATCAATTTGATCTCAGCAACTTATATATTTGTCTCAGTCTAACAAGATGATTTCAGCAGTTTCACTATGAACATCAAGAATCAGTCGAGGGACTAGTTTATAAATGTTTCGGGTATTATAGTAGTACATTTACACATGTGCTGGTAGCTATTATACAGAGATACTGATTAGATAATTCACAGGCAGTAATTGAAACATAATAGGTTTCTTAAATTATACAGAGAATAGCATAATTCTGACACAAAAATTGCCCAAACTGAAATTAACTAATATTTAAAATTGGAAGGAAATATGTATGTAACTGAACAGCACACACTGATTCGGCTATTTGCTTTCTCTTGCTTTGGGTTTGGAATGAAATCTCACCAGAAACAAACAAATAGCCATTTTTATCTATCTAGCCATTGAGTGTTGTAAAATAAAATTGGTTCTGCTTCGAAAATAAATGACGCTTTTGTTGGTTAGAATTTGAAAGATGTTGGAGGCTGCAAATCTCTCAAAGTGTGCAATTCCAACTACACAAAGATGAGCTGTTAAGATTTAGGGCAGAAATAAAAATACAGAACAATAGTTTTAATGGGTGGAAAAAAACACAAAGCATTGGAAATTAGTTGACTAAAGCTCAAATTTCTTTATTTCAATATGGAAAGTGCTTATCAAGCTTGAAAACATGATATTGTAATTCTTATTTTCTTCACAAATACAGGCAATTAGTGGCAATAAAATGAGGTGCACAACAAGTAAATTAGAGACACCTAAATACCTCAAAGTAGCGACGTACATCAATGGATAACTCTTTGGTTTATTGCACAGATAAATATTGTTCTCTGGACATGCAGTTTAAATGCACCAAACTAATATTTGAGTAGCGCTGACAAATTAACTTAACTGAGTACATTAACTTATGCACATCGAGTCTGAGTAGGGTCATTAATTTTAAAACTGGCTATTTGCTCATGCATGCTGTTTGCAGTGTTTGACTTCTGTTGCTTGCACAACAACAAACATTTGTTAAAAGGACAGAAAACAGAGTTAGTTGATTTGCATGCCACAGCTTTTTGCCTCATTAGTTTAGTCAGGGCAACTCTGGCAGTCGAATTATGGTGGGTCGAGTGGGTGAAGGGGGAGGTCTTCGGCTGGAACAAGACAAGAATAGAAAGACTGTTAAATGTAGAGGTTCCCTACGCCGACAAGATTGAATGGAATGTGAGGGGCCTCCCGCAAAAGCACAACATACATACATTTTTCTAATCCAGGCTTAGCAAGTAGGCTGCTTTATGCTTTACTCTTTTCGATCGTGCAAAATCAAAATGCCATGCAAAGTCAGCCCACTTTACACAATTGAGTAATGTCTTTTCAAAGGCACAAAAAATGCCTTATCCATTAAAAATGTCTCTCCAGAAACCAGATTTGGAAGCTTCAGTCACTTCAGAAACAGAAAGTTTTATTTTTGACACAAAATAACTACAATCATCCTGTCAGTTTCTGTAATGATTCCATGTCCCTGGAAAGTAACTGCAGATGTTCTGCTGCTGGCATAACTTCAACACACTAAGGTTTTGTTCCTTGTTCTCTTTAATGCCAGATCTAGTGACGCATTATTGCAGATACGTGGCTGACATTTTTTTTAAAAATAAACTTTGCACAATTCTTTTTGTTGCCACTTCATAATTTTGAAACCTACTGCGCTCCCCTTCCAAAAAAACAAAACCAGAGCTATTCTGCTTGTGAGTCCTTCTACAGTTGGCTTTATTGAAGAATCTGGTGGACATTCCTTACAGCAAGAAAATAAGACTCAGATTACTTACAGAGGCTCAATTTAAAATGCAGCATTTTGTACCAACGGGAATGTAAAAAAGGAGCCTGCAATGTGTAACATTCTGGAGACTGTCTGCACAATAGAAGTAGATATGAGATTGTTCAGCACAATCTAATTGTGCAATTGACATTTTGACTGATGAAAATAATTATGAAATGCCTCAAGAGGGAGCTCTTCATTATATGGATATTTAAAAATATAGTGCATTTAAATAGAATAATTGTTTACAAATGCAAGCAGACTGTCAGGTCTCAATATCCATTTTAAATTAAATATTTTCTCCCGCAAGTAATCATTTCCTTTATTCTTTTGCTAATTTTCCCCCTTACCTTCTGAAGGTATTTTACTCCCTTTTTTCCTTCTACTACGGTATGCTTCAACTGTCTATCCACATCATTCCTCTCAAGTGGTCAATCGTACATTGACAAGTGTCACTATCCATGAGGAACCTCACAGCCTAACCTAATTCTGTTTTCACCTGAAGCCCACACTTGCACACTTTCCTGCCAGTGGTCATTAGACAATAATCTGGAGCATGAACTTGGGCTGATTCCTTCCCTCCCTAACCCAAGCACCAAGGTGATTGCAGTGACCCTTGTGCTGTTCCAGCTGAGGCAAGCTAACGGCACAATAGTTTCCTTTACTATTTTTATCATTTAATCTTCATTGAATAGCCTTTAACATAATAGATACGAGAATTAATCATGTAAAGTGTTCAGTTTTTAAGTCTCACATCAGAGAGAATACGTGCATGACCTACTCAAGGCCTCCGTAATGACCTTCAATCAAGCTGCTTGAAGTCATGCAAATGAGATTGGGGGATAATTTATCCATTTATTTTGTCTCTTTCCTTCTAAAGAAATGTACGGTTAGCACCCACCGATGACCTGGGTGAAATTAAAACTCGACATGTAGGGAACGGTGGGTGAGAATCCATTTCCTACAGCGCTGTGGTGTAGCATATTCATACAGCAACATGCTGAGCCACTAGAGACTAACTCAATATATTTTGTTTTTCTTAGCTATTAGGCTGTCAGATGTGTAACATTAGTCACTGGTATTTTTCTACTAAATAACGGTAGATTTTCTCAGACACCAGACTAATTATTCTTGCAGGTTGTCCATTATAGATATAATGATTAATGTTATTAAATGGGAGACAGATACTTTTTCAGTAATACAGTGCTGAACTTGGAATATTAACTTTATTAAATGCCAAACGATTGCTTTGCAGTAAGATAATACAGAAAAATCTTTAAAAGTAGTTCCTGCATTTGGAAATAACTTTTTAAGTTTATACAGAGCTCAAGCATGTTCCATTGTTGGGACAATGGATAGATGACTATGTGAGTGGGCACGGAGGAGAAAGAACACAGTGACAAGGCTCTTATGACCAGCATGTTACAGCAACTGACCGATCAAATTCCCGCAAGTCCATCTCCTCGAGGGCAACTATCTTGTAACAGCACAGATTACGTTCATAAAGATGTACGAGTACAATTTTAAGAAAACTATTCCCCAAAGTTTACCATTAATTTCCTTGATGCAGTATCAGCGCAGAATGTTCTGATCCTCGCTGAAAGTGATTTTTTTTCTGCATGCGTGCATGACGAGCTTTGGTGCCAGTGTTTTGTTGATTACATAAACTTACTGACATTAGATAAAATCGAAGTTAGACACCAATCACTAAAGGGATGGATAAACCACTAAAGACAGTCCAGACTGGAATGTCTATCAAAAACATATGGATAGTCATATGACACAAGTATGGAAAGCATTGCTAACTGTTCCACAGGAATGTGCAAGCCCTGTTTAAATTTATAACTGTATTTTCTGTGTAAAGTCAGTAAAATTACAGTGCTTATGAAATACAGTTAATCAAGAAGACAGAAACATGAATGTTTAACGTTGGGTGCTAGATTTATATCCAAAGGTGCTGCTGAATAAGGTTGAATGTGTTTGTTTCCCTTTGGGGTTTTTTGTGGCAGGGAAGAAATCTAAAACAAAATTTGGCATGAGTAAAATCTCTAAATGTGTACACAACCTCAATTAAAACCACTAATATACACAGACTTTTTACACTGAACATAGCTGGGAGGGATACACCCACATAAAGCAGGAGTCGCAAGAGTATGAGTCATGCAAATGCTGATGTTTCCAAACTATAGCAGTAACTTTTCTCTGTTTGCTTTGGGCATCTGAAATCTTTGAGCCTAACACAAACAACTGAATGTACCAATACAAATGGTCACTGGCTGTATGCAAAATTAAAATATCCAGCTTCTAGTCCTCACAAATTTACTAAACAATTTCAAAAATATTTATTTTGTAAAGAGTTCCTCTCTTACATGTTCTTCAAAAACAAAGCACAAATTCTTTGTACAAACAGCTGCTTGACTGCATCACTTCTTAAATGTTAGACTCTTTCTGAGCAGTAAATAACTAATGTGAAATTGTGATCAACCAAAATGTGAAATTCCTTTAGAAATATCGGGAAAGGTTACTGAAAATGCTCCAGAAAGATATAGAAAAACCATGTAACTGAAACAACAGCCAATGGATCCAAAGCCCACTGTGTAGTGTTCAGTAAAAATGTGCACCAAACACGAATCAACACACTATAAATATCAGTTTTTCAGTAAAAGCTGCAGCGCATATAGTTGAACAGCATTTGACCAAGGCTGGAATTTGTTGATTTTTAGAGCTGTGCAGAAATAAAACACCAGCTATAATGCGCTGCAGAAAGCCTTTCTTCCCAAGCAAAAGTAATTTTCTTCACCACTTAAGCTCATGCATGTTGGATGCATAACATTTGCGAACTCGCAATCTCTATAGTCTGGAGTTTACTCTCTAGGCACAGATTAGGCACCAGCCACTGATTAAGAATGGTGAAATAGCCTAAGGCTACAAAATTATGGAATAGGACCTGGTTTAAATAACTACGTGTCTGCACTGAAGGCCTTGAACTTTCAAGTACATGTAACTGGAATGCTAGCTTGAGGGAATACATATTTAAAGGTTAATCCAGTATGTTGAAGACTGAAGGCTCAAAAAAGGTCTCATAGGAACAAATCTACATTGAGAGGGGAGTTAAAAAAGCAACGTCACCTTGAAGAAATGAAATCAGTGTGGAATCATCTTGTATTTAACTTGTGATTGCTTGAACAGGCAAATCCTAAGAGTATTGGGAGGGCAGTTCTTTTTTGAAACAGTTACAACGGGAATCCAAGATGTATTCTGAAAACAATCCAATTCCATTTTTCATTAACTGGCTCTAGATCCAAGCATAAAGGGATATCATAGACAATTTCTGAATGTAGCAGGATGAGGAAAAGAGGAAGAACAGGACACTATCCTATGAACCATCAAATAATCTGCATCTCTGCAGAGAATCTACATTTCTGGTGAAGGGAAGAATTGAATGAATAACTTCTGGACTAAGAACTTAGGTAGCTGCAATCCACCTAGCCTTAAACCACACTTAAGACACTTAAACCATTCTGAGCAAAAGAGAGAAACAAAGTAACATGGAATGGTTTCTCTTTATGGTGACAAAAAGAGTTAACATATAGAAACTGAACCCAAGGATCCATGAAGTCACTAGTGAGAAATTTGAAGGTAGGGGGATTGCAGCTTCCCAGTCGCCATATAATTTATAGGAACTACTGCCTAATTGAAACCAATTCATGAAAATCAACATGCATTATGTATATATGCATACATAGGTACACACACACACACACACAGTGGGATTCAAATACCATACATGTCAGTATCACACACAAAAAATATAGCACATTATTCACTAATATTTAATTGTCTGATTAAAATGAGCAAATAAATAAGTTTCAGCTAACAATAGCATTAATTCTATCTCTAACTAATAAGGGTGTGCGAGTTGATTTATATTTTACAGAATAAAATTAAGAGCCAAAGCCATTAGATCCATTTTCTTTTAAAACAAAAAGCCACTGGTAGCATGGACATCTGGTGATTCATTTATGCTATTTAAAGGTTAAGGTGACTGCTATGCCTTTTATGTGAAGAGCTGTGCTCCTTTCAACCAAAGGAAAACTAGAATTTTTTGTTCATACAACACTGCACCAAAAAGTGCAATACTTGAATGAAATTATTAAAGAAACAGTGAGACTATGACACCCAATTATGAATTATTTCTTTAAAATGGTATGTACCCTAAGGGTATAATACTACCTTTCCCTTCTGCTTATTTTCCTTTTGCAGTTGTCGTCCCTCAGGCAATCCATCTCTTGCAGCAAAGACAGCGCTGAGTCTGCTTCCAAAGCTATTCACCTAATGTCCCATCTCACCCCATTTTTCTCTTACAACTTTTGCTTGTCCCAATAGACATCTAAGTCTTTCAGTACCATTTTTGCGTTTGGGTTCCCCAAGCACTTAGCCATTCTATTCCCAAGAAGATATTCTTTAAAAATGCATCAGCCTGCCATTCAACACAATGAATGAGTAGGAATTACATTTCTCAACTGTTTATTTCAACATAAAATGTCTCATGTTACTCAAAATAATAGGGTGGAGTTGCCCTTCAATAATAGTGTTAAAGTAGCAAATATCTTTATTGGTATGAATTATTTAGCTGAAACAATTTGATTTATTCCTGCAAATTATTTCACCTATTTCCTCTCCCATTATTAATACATTTTCCCTTCTGTTACTTATCTTCCGTTGAATGATAAGGAACATGGTCACAGGTCTCTGCCCAAACCATTCAGGCTGGGTGCTGAGATACACAAAAGTAATTTGGGTTTTGAGCTGAATCATCTGCCAATTTTCCCTTCTGTCCTGTGGGAAAATGTCTAAACAGCACCTTGTCTTTCTGGATCCCAACAAAGAGTGGAAACAAGTCATGAGGTCTATGATGCCCAGCAATTATTTCATTGATCCATTTAATGGAAAATTTCAGTGTAAAGATGTATCAAAAAGATCACTATTTTTAGTGATCAGTGTTAGGATTAATCCCATATGAACATATACTTGCACCCCTCCACAAACAAATAACCATATAGTTTACCTAAACAGTCATTACACTATACAGTAAATCCTATGAAGCACTTTGCGATGTCTCAACAACGTGATAAGGCACTATATGACATCTAATGTGATTCCAACCTCCAGTCTGGGTCTTAATCCTCACCTACAAGGCCATTCACGGCCTTGCTCCCTCCTACCTCTCCGACCTACTATCCCCCTACCTACCTGCCCGTACCCTCCGTTCCTCTGGCTCCGGTCTGCTCCACATCCCCCGCCCCAACCACCCTATCATCGGTGGCCGGGCCTTCAGCCTCTCATCCCCGAGGCTCTGGAACTCCATCCCCCAGTGCCTTCGCCGCCTCCTCCCTTTCCTCCTTCAAGGCTGGTCTCAAGACCTTTCTCTTTGACCGTGCCTTCAGCTCCCCTCTCGACTCTCTACCCCCTCCTCGCTCCCTCCCTTCCCTCCTCTCACCCTGACCATTTCCCCCCTGCTCGGGTCCTGACCCAACTGTCCCGCGCCTTGGGACGTCCTCCCGATGTGAAAGGCGCTCTATAAATGGAATCTTGTTGTTGTTGTTGTTAACTGTCCAGGGCCTTGGCATGTCCTTCTGAAGTTAAAGGCACTAAATCAATGTAATTTGTTGTTATTAGTATTATTTATTTGTCCACCTTAAATAATTTAACCAACTTTTCAGTGAAATTTCTGCACAATGAATGTAAATTGGCTCTTTACTTCTACACTGATTTCTTTTGAGAACGCAGAGTGGACTTTGACCCTTCCTTGCCATCCAGTTCATAGTAAAAGTATAAAAGTTGTTTTTTCTTTTACATTCAGCCAAAATCTCCTGAAACTACCATTGATTATAAACCATAATTTCAAGCACTAGAGAACCCAACAACACAAACCTATCACCTGTCTCAAAAGTTAACATATTTACAAAATTATTCCACTGAACTATCCTACTGCACAGATACAAGATAAATTGATGTTATCTGAAACTGTGTCATGCTAATATTGTGGATAAGTGAAGCACTGCAAAACTACTTTCAGATTCAGAAAGAGTTCACAGCCGTAAAAAAAAGTGTCTGCAGATCAAGTTAACAGCTTACCTTGGGATGCTGGGAGCAGCACGTGCTGGCCTTGAAGGGATGTGTGGGGGAGCTCCAGATGGATCAGTACTGATAGTACTGGAGAAAGGAGGGAGAGGGCCAGGGCGGGATGGGATGGGAGGAGCTCCTGCTGAAGAACCTGCTGGGGCATGGCTTCGCCCAGCAAATGGTCTGCTTGGTGGGTAAGCAGACCCTGGGTGCCAGCGCTGACATGTAGGACTAGGAGGTGGAGATCTGCAAATAAATTACAATCTATTTAATTGTGCTTTGCTTTAGAATTGTTATTCTCTCATCAAGGCACAACCGCATTAAATGCTATTAGTTCTCTTTTTGGTAAGCAAAATAAATGAATGGCAGCATTTTTATGTCTTGCATTTATATTGCAATGATCTTAAAATGAGCATCTACACGAGCCAGAAGATACATTCACAGAGAAATACATACATGAACACTTGGAACAGTCATATGAGACGTCTAGAAGACGTGAAAAGCACGATATCAAATGCAGGGATTATTATTATTATTATATCCAGACAAGACGATTGGTGATGTGTCAATTAAAACCTTTGTTTAAAAAAAGAGTTGGATGAATCTGTGGTTAAGAACAAGAATGCAAATTTTTAGGCTAAGAACAGATGATCCAAATGTTGTGGGGAAAATAAAGATTCTGGTTCTGCTACATTGCCAAGAAAGGCAACTAGCCAACAGTGAATAACGTAGGATATAAAGTTAGATAGATTTTCTGGAGCTTTGTATGATTTACCTTTTGGAAGAATAGGAAGATTCTGCTGATCCTTTCCTCAGGAGATTAAATGCAATAGCCAAGATCCATGAAGGAATGAATTGTAAATGGTGTGTGGAAAGAATGGAGAATGGGTTTGATGTGCCAAATGACATTTTTCCTTGTTTCATACCCATGTCTTGAACAACAAATGTACAATTCTTTCTGATTGAGGTTAAGGCACATTTGTTGAGGGAGCACAGACCCTACTCACAACAATTTGAATGTTTTTAGAGCAACTATTTTTTCCAAGGTACATTGAATTGTGTTTTTACATTCACAATATCATGAGAAGCTTGGATGAAAAACACTCTTCAGCTCATTCGATTTCATCCTTCCAGAATTCTGACCTGTATGTCTACTTCATGCTTTTTCTTAAATGAGTTCAGCGACCTAGTCTCAACCACGCTTTCTGGTAACACATTCCCTTTCTTAATTAACTTCTGTGTGAAGAAGTATTTTCTAGTATCGGACTTAACATAGTTTTCACAACCCTGAACCTCTGCTGTGTAGTCATATTGATGTGGTGTATCTTTCAAGTATTTTCTGAGTTTACTTTCTCTGTCCCATTACAAATCATATATACCTCTAGACTAGAGGATCCCCTCAAAAGCATTCCTCGTTTAAGCTAAAGAACTGCAGTTTATCCAGTCATTGTTTTATATTCATCCTTCTTACCATGGGGATCTATTCATTCCTATCCTCTGCATTGCCTCTTAAGTGTAAAAAAAATCTTCTACAAATCTGAGTTCCCCTACAATGATATATGTGAACAGGTGAACAGAGTTCCCAAAAGGAAGTTTTAGTTGGAGATAAACGGATGTATAGTTATCACAAAAGTAATCATTCCAGTAGTAGTACCTGCATCCAGACTGCAGCCAAGAGTCATCCACTGGAGGTGGCAGAGGGACGGTAACTGTATTGGTATTGATATCCCCAATAATATTTAGTGCTTCTTTAATGGCATGGTACATGCGGAGAGTTTCATCACGCCGTTGGGTCTGCTCAGGTGACTCCTCCATTAAGGTGTTTTGTTCCTCTGAGGAATACAAACTGGCCAAAAGCTCTGCATTGATGAAATATTTAGCCTGTGGAGCATCATGAGAGCAGTTACAGTCATATATTACACCTGTCTAATTCACAATCAAATTACTCAATGTTTGTAACATTGCACCACATATCTACATTTTGTTAGTTATGTTTAGTGGAAAGAGCAAACTTAATAAAGTCAACAGATTGTTGGGCATAAAATTTCTCGTCATCTGTGTTTATAGGTTTACTCTTTCATTAATACTTTAAGATAAAATCTGTCAGCGAGAGAAGCTGGTAGCTCTCAATAGTGTGGAATAACGGGATTCCATTTAGAGGCGAGACATTTCAATCAAAGGTTCAGCTGCCCATTTTAATACAGCTGCTCTATAAAAGCAAAGTTTACCAGTTTTCTGCCAAGCTACTGGGTATAAAAATAACCAATGTATCTGCCTTACAAGCTCAATTCCTGTTAGGATATATATAGTGAAAATTAAAGGCAGCTCCAGGGAAGGCCAGTGTCCAGACTGCCTTGTCCTCTTTTATGGTTAATCACGTTAACTTTTCCCGGCCTTTGTTGGAGATTAATGGCAAATTTGGATTCCAACTATTGAAAAAACTATTCAAGTTGAATGCAGCATTGTAGGTTAACGGCTGCGATTCTCTACCAAATGGAGTAGCAACATAACCACAATTTTGTGAAGTAAACAAACTGAATCATCTTAACCCTGGTTTAGCTTCCCAGTGGTGGTGAGATAGCAGTCTTCCATCTGCATCCAACCTCTCTGGTAATGCTGGGGCATGCAGTCAGCTACTCAGAGTCTAGCTTATAGCCAGCAAAGACCGCTCAACTGTATGATTTCATAACTCAGGAGCATACACTTGTGCATTAGTTTGTGCAGCCCACAAGGAAACTGAAGTTCAGGCCTGAAATGAAGAGAGCGAGCAAAAACCTGAAAATGTTATGAAAATCAAGCAGTTTGATAATCAGACTCCACTTTCAGCCTCCATTAACGTTATTTTCGCTTCAGTCTCAATTTGTTATACTCTCCATCAAGGGAAACACTCTATGTATGTATATGTGTAAATAATGGATGAATCAGCAGGAGTACTGCTCAGATATCAGTATCTTCTCATTATCACTCTGGGAACTTAAACCAGGCCTCAGACAGTTTTCAGTTTCAGGAAATCCCAGGCTTCTTAATCTGGACAGTTTATGTTTGCAGTTCATGCACTGTGATACTGACACAAACCCCAATGTAACAGTAAAACTACTCAGAATGCAGAGGCAGCTTTACTTCCATAACTTCCAAAAGCATGAAGCATTGTAGAAATGCTGTAGTCACATCACCAACTCTGAAAGGCCTTTCTCCTCCCTTGTCAAACCTGCAACTCTTTCTCCTCAGATCTCCAGTAATTACTCTCACCAACCGTTTGCCTTTATTTTCTGCCTATATTGTTTTTCTCCAACCATTATCTTTCCTGATGTAATCCTACACTAAGCGTGCTCGCCTTGCAAGCGAAATGACCCTGGGTTCGATTCCCAGGCGGGGCGAAACCTTGCAAGCTTCCTTACTCCACGCGCCTTTGTTTACCTGCAAACCCTAACCCTAACAATTCAGTGATGCAATACCTTCATCTTTGTTTTCAATTTTATCTTATAAATTTTGAATGACTAGCAGGATACAACAGGATATTCACAGAACATCTTTGCCAACAATGTAATGCAAAAATCCTGGAAATAGGACAGGCCAGTTTCAGACAAAACTAACAATGCCAGAATCTTACCAGTGGTTCATGCGGCTTGGAAACATCATACAAGCTTAAATGTAAAAATAAAAGATTCCCTTTGGTTGTGCTGCCTTCCTTCCCATTTTCACTAATTTCTGAGTTGTGTGCCTTATTTTTTAATATTTAAGCATAAAAGCAAATAAAAATGACCATAACAGCAAATTATTCAAATTAAATAACAGAAAGAGGATGGAAGCATCTGTAAATTAAGTAACCTTAGTGAATAAAGCAAAGAGGAAGCATATTAAAAACAGAGATGAGTGGTGGGGGCAGGGGAGAAGAGAGGGCGGTCTCAATTTCAAAGACTGCAGCAGGCTGCAATTAAATAATAGTTTTATTCAACCACTTACATGCTTTCCCTCATACCTAACATTTCCTTTGTGACTGTGTTAACTCAAATAAAGCAGAAAGTTTTCTAGGGAAGCGATAGTATGAAAAAGAAAGCAATTTTGAATTAAAATGCTCTTGGAAGCCAGCAAATGTGGAACATTTTCTTCAAATGTTTAATACTGAACTGCATAAAAAGGCCTGCAGGACTTTGTGTATTCCAAAATCCACAGCAGAGTCTAATTGTTGAAAGGACCCTGGAGAGGATTGTGAAACAGGTTAATGACTGGCAAATGCCACTTGGGTAGTCAAAGGTTCGATCCATCCCTCACCTGATTTTCCACAGGTCATTGGCAGCAGTTAGATGGGAACCCTGCCTGTATTTCCTTCCCCAGCTCAGGGGTGCTGAGATCAACGTTAGTAAACTTACTGCTACCCTACCCGAGATTAATCAACCTAGCGCACCCTGGGAAATGAACCTAACAGCTCTCTGGATCTGCATTTCACTTCAGGCAGTAGTTTTACCGTCTACACCGTTACAGAAGTGTTCCAAGAATTTCAATGGCTTTTTCAAGGCTATTAATTATTGAAGTGGGTAATCAAACCAAGAACAAGTCAGTGGGAAATAAGCCAATGTTATTTTTAAATTGAATTACTGTGTGAATAAGGTGTCGATAGCGTGACAACAAGACTTGAATGAGTCATCTAAAACTTGGAAATCAACAGGCAACTATTTTCTGTTTACTGATGTTAACTTACAAGCTTTAATACTGAACTTGTGATGTAAACTCAGGTCGTGAGACAACAAAACATCATAAAGGGACATAGTCCCTTGTGATTCTCATGCAATATGTATTTAAGCTGACTGTCATGTTCACTCCAGTGACATTTATAGAGGACACACAGAATTCAGATTTACATCTGCATTAAAATGAAAAAGTAGAAGGGAACCTGCAACCAAACTGTGAATACGTTTCCATACAGACATTACACACACACGCAATGTTTATTAAGGTTGAATTAACTACATAAAAATTTGCATAAAATGTCAAGCAAAACCGAAAAAGTTGCTAAATTTTTATTTCGTTCTCAAATGCACAACACTTAGTTTTATCTGAGCATTTAGATTTTTTTTCTTGAGAGTTTGAATGCTATGAATGGAAAATCACCTGAGACAATCCCACAAATTCAATAGGTTTTGGAGTTTCAAAACTTGTAAAAGTCCTGTATTTACCTATGTTCTCAGATAGGTCTGATCCACACATACGCCACTAAATATAGTTCCATAACTGAAAAGTGGCTATCTAAAGTCTTTCCAGAATCCGAGTTTACAGTAAGAAAAATGCAAATTTGCTGTTTCTGGTTAACATGCATTTCATCCTCTTGATACCCAGATCAATGCTGATGTAACTTTACTGAATGTTCTTTACTTCTCCCTCCATCTCACTGCAAAGAGATGAGACATATCATCAGATACATGCCATTCCTTGTTCTTATGTAGTTTTACATACCACTCCTTCCTTTGTGATTTCAGGTCTTTCTCTACAATCAATCTCAGTGCATCAAAACTGTTGTAGAAGCAAATTATAGTCAATTCTAAACACACCCTAAGCTAGTCTGAATAAGAAGTCTCTCTGAATCAAAACGTAGTCCATTACTTTCTGGCTCGACGCAAATCAATTTACTTCTTCAACCTTTATTTGAATTGAATAACTGTCTCAGGAGGGAAGGAAAGTCTTACAATGTTGTTTGTGGAGTAGTCACTAAGCTCACCGGACAAAAATATAAGAAGGAATTTTCTGTCATGCCAACAGTTGGCAGAAAATAACCAGACTACATTGCAGCATTTTTCCAACCCTTATTGTAAAGGGAGTTTCAAATTAATTTCCCACTGGTAACATTCAGACATTTCAACACTCAACTGATAAATAAATTTGGTGAAAGCAGAAGGAAGGGAGGTGTGTCCAGTCAGGCATTCTCCAATTTAAATGGCGAATGCACCTTAAAACATGTTTAAGGAAACCACAGCTACCTGCTTTGTCCTTTAGCATAGGTTTTAAAAGTCAAAATTAAACAATCAACTAGATTGAAAAAAATGGTCCTTCATTTCATGGCTGTTTGTGGTACATTGCTGTGAGCAAATTGGCAGCTGCACTAGCATACAAATATATAGTCACTATGTTTTATAGAAACCTCTGCGATGTGATCCAGATTTTCAGGTGATAAGGTACTATATCAAATGCAAGGATTATTATTATTAGTAGTAAATGGGTAGTGGCCTCGGACTATATACAACAGGACAAAAAGCAGCATTTCACATGTGATAATTCAGAGAGGAAATTTTTTTTTAGGAAAATAATCAAAACTCACAAAGTTTGAGGGGAGGAGGGGTGTTTAGTACGAGAGCAATGCTTTAGGATGCAAAATTTGCAGCTTTTTATAATACATTCAACATGGTCATTAATTCACCGCAATATGTTCACAAGTAGTAAGGAATTTCCATTTATATGGGTGCACACAGAAAAAAGTGCTAGGGGGAAGCTATATCAATAACACATTTCAGAAAGTCTCCCACTATTTCTCTAGTCAATTAAAAGAAGTCAAAACCTATTTTCAGTGGCTCAAGAACCAGCATTTGTGAAGTTCCTTGTATCTTGACCTCAGTCATTGGCCTTTATAATCCAAATAGCAAAGCTTATACCTCAAATAATGTCAAAAACTTATTACAGCTCTGCTTTTTAAAAAATATTAGTGATATGAAAAGTAACTGTTAATGTGATTTTCAACATAATGTTGAAACTCAGATTCTGGAAAAGTTTATGTTGCTTGTTTGTAGTTAATTATAATCCCTGCATTTTATACAACAGTGGTCAAGATGTCTCAAGTCGTGGAGTCCTGTAGCTCAGTGGTTAGAGCACTCGCTTTGCAAGCGAGAGACCTGAGTTCAATTCCAGGCAGGGCGAAACCTTGGGCAAGTTTCCTTACTCCACACAGAGCCTAATAATAATCCCTCCAAAACCAAAACCAATAATAAATTGGTCATTTTCAATCTACGACTGTTTGTGGGACATTGCTGTGCGCAATTGGCTGCCGCGTTCGCCCACAAATATACAGTCAATTCACTTTACAGTGTGTTCTGTGAAGCGCTTTGGGACGTCCTCCCGACGTGAAAAGCGCTATATCAAATGCAAGGATTATTATTATTATTATTATTATAAGTCGAGGATGTCTCAAAGAGCTTGAAGGCAGAAAAAAGAAACAACCAACTTCAATGAGTTAATCTGTTTTCTTAATTCTGCACCCTGGACCCAGACTTCAACATTTGTAAGACTTTTGATTACTACATTTATGTAACATCTGTTATGTAAGTTAATGTCTTGGAGCGGTTCACAAAGACGAGGTCAGGCGAGCTCCCGAAAGTTTAGCACAATGAGACCACATCAAATTATGCCCCATCATTCGAGAGTGCAAACTTGGTTTGGAGGGGGAAGGTTGAAACCTGTTGGCCATTGACCTCTTTACCCACATCTGTCGAGGGACGCAACTCTTCATGTACTAGAGCAATGAAAAGGGAGGGAATGGAAGTCTACGTAAAGCACATTTTGGTAGTGATTGAGCTACTCCTCCCCCAGCCAAATGACTTGATAAGGTAAAGACAGCACATTAATCAGTTCAACAATAATTTACAAGATGGAAATGTTTTTCCCTGGAATTTGGAGACTTAAGACTTACTGTAAACTTCTAAACTTTAAACAAAACGAAACCTGTAATCAAAAAAAAGTATACCTAACTATGCTTATACTTAATTGCTTTACCAAAGCAGAGTAAAACTCACATTATTTATCATAAGATGCATGATCGTCTTGGGCATGAGATCCCGGATAGTCTTGTTAACAATAGACATGTAGGACTCCACCAAGTTGCGGATGGTCTCCACTTGTCTCTCCAGTTGAGGGTCCATAGAAAAGTTACCAGGACATGCTCCCTCATCATTCTCAGCCTGTGCATCAAGCGGAAACATAGTTATAAAAAGAAATCAAATCCTGAGGTCGGCACCTGCTTTGCTTCCAGTTGTGGTTTGTGCAAAATAAAATTGATTCATACTTTCACAATTTACAATATGATCCATCAATTATTATATGTTGATGTTGTATTATGCCACCTACAAGATTAGAAAGTCTAATGAATGGATTAGAAAGGCAGCACATAACTTTGTACACTTTTGCCTTAGGTGTCAATTAAGCTAAGCAATGTCCTACAAACAGCTACGAATGAATGACCAATTTTATTTGGGGGATTGTTGGTCAGGAGAATCTCTTGGGTAGTTCATCGCAGAATATGAGTTCATTCAAAATAAAGTTAAGCACAACACATTTCCTTTCTCACACAATACTGTCACAATATTTCAATGAAAAGGCTATTGAACTATAGAAGGCCACTTCATCTTAACCTGCCATGGTCAGATTTCTACTTTGTTAACTTTATGTATACCATAGTGAATGATATACATGATCAGTTTTTACCTGCAATTTGGATAATCACTATCAGTTTTGTATCTTGAAATCAGGAGGCAGTTTTTCACCCAAAGGTAGTGGAAATCTGGATTTCTGCACTAAAAGGCTGTGGATGCTGGATCCATTCACATTTTCTTGACTGAGGTGGATAGATATTTGTTAGCTCAGGGTATCAAGGGATATGGGGCAAGGGAGAGTAATTGGAGTGAGGTACAGCTCAGCCTTGATCTTTATAGAATGGCGGAGCAGGCTCAAGGGGCTGAATGGCCCTTTTTACTATGTTTCATTATATTACACTGGACTTAACATGAATGCTAGCTTCAGTGTAACATTATGTTTGGTTATTATTGTGTTGAATTTAACCTTTTAGTGATATGAAATCATACCAGATTGTGTTCAGTTATTTCTTTTAGAATGCTTATCTTCATACTGTACGACAATGTTCATAGAATAGATTTTAAGATTCTGGAGGAATTTTGAATATTTTTCAGTGCCAAGATAATAACTGTATTTATAAGACAGCATAGAGTATTAGCGAGAATTTGTACAATTGAAATATCTTATGCATGGAACAGTAAAGAGGAGAAACTCTGGTTGCATAAAAAGAGCTAGTGGAGAAAGTGAAATGGTAGCTACAAGTGAGATCAGAGCTAAGGGAAAACAAAAATCAGGGCCTGGGGAAAAGAATTGGATCTTAATACGGCTTCTAGCTGATATTTTTCAGATACAAACCACAATGGAACAAATGAAGCATTGAAGCTTTAGTGCCATTTTTGCATTCTACAAGGATTTCAAGAAATGCTTTTCAACAATGAAACAGTTTTCTTTCTGAAGTTAAACCAATCTTTAAAAACAAATAGAGGATACACAATTATTTTAAGTTTAAACCAAATATTAATGTTAGCCACAGTGTAAGAAAAAGGGCAGCACTGTTATTCTTTTTACAAACGTTATCACTACAAAAAAAGCAAAAAGGACGACATGTTTAAAAAAAGGTTTAAAATCAATAGTTTAGGAACAACGTTATGAATGTTTCCCAACCAAATACATGTCTACAATTTGAAAGTTAAAACAGACATATTCCACTGAGGAGTAATACTTTCCAGTTTCATATGAAACATATGAGAGAAGTGCTACAATTTTCCAAATAAAAAAAATCACTTGGCAGCAATTTTATTTCACATTGTGGCATTCATTCCTTATATAAACACTTGTTGAGCATGGCATTCATTAGCACACTTAGAAACTAAAAAACAGACCTGACTTTTGAGGGTTATAAAGAACCATGGGAGATTTAAAAAAAAAACATACCAAGGGAAAACAATTCAACATTAAATTCAGGAAGTAATGCTAGAAGCATTCCAATAGAAATATTTAAATTGAGCCCAAGAGAGGATCAAAACATCAAACAATCGTGGTCAATTTATTTCTCATCAAAATGGGGGATATATTTCAATACATGTATTCATTCACGTGCGATAACTATAGCAGTATAGTTCGGACAACAAAATACAATGTGATACAAAATCATCTTACAAAATTACTTTTTAAACTGAAAAAAGAACACAACTGAGCACTGTGACACCAGGAAATTTAAACTGGACATGATTTACATGCATTTCGAATTAATTCAAGTATTCTTCTCGACTTTCATTGACAGCTTCATTTGAGACTATATTGGGCACAATATTCCCTGAGTTAGACAGCAGCAGATTTATTATTGACTTTACTGGATGGAAACACGATAATAACCTAATTCCTCCCCATATTTTTATATATATCAGCCAAACAGATTTTACACATCATAACACACATTTTTCAACTGGTGTTGGCCAAATAACTTCAATTAACAATAATCCTTGCATTTTATATAGCACCTTTCACAGCAGGAGCAAAACGCACAGGATTTACTGTCAAGTGGAATGACTGTATTTTGTAGGGAACATGGTAGCCAAGTTATGCACTGCAATATCCCCCAAACTGCCATGAAGTGAATGATCAATTTTATCTGCTAGATTGTTAGTCAGGAGAAACTCCCTTCTCATTTCAAACAGTGCCATGGGACTTTAAAATCCACTTGAACAGTGAGATGGAACCTCGGTACAACATTTCACTTGCATGGCAAATACATAATGAAAAACAAAGTTAGACAAGCACTCTGAATCATGCTTTCTTCAGTTACAGGACTTTCTAGTGGCAATAAACAACGATAACATGCATTATATAGCACCCTTCACACACGGTAGACGCCTATCCATTTCAAATAAAAACAGAGATCGCTGGGAACAGTCATCAGGTCAGGCAGCATCTATGGAGAAACTAAGTTGGATCAACGTTTCGGGTCCATGACCCTTCATCAGAACTGGGGGATGTTGGGAGGGAGAGGTTTTAAGGACTAACAGAGAAGGGAGGCGGGGCAAGAAAGATAAAGGAGAAAATGGAGTGGAGGACAGAGGATGATGGGTTAAAGCCTATCCATTTCATCTCTGCTAGTGGTAGAATCAAGCAAAAGGAGGGTAACTGGATAGTGGACTGATAGCACAACAGCATTAGTTCCTTGCCACTAGCAATAACCTTTGACCAGAATAACCTTTAATGGAATAAACACCACGTGTACTAGTTTATTTTTGGGTAGGCAGCTATATATTGTTTGCCATATTCTATGCAAGTTTTTCTTCAAATTACTTTACTTCTCAAACCACACACTTTTCCTGGCTGAGAACAATGGACCCAAATCATGCTCTCGGTCCATTGCCAACGGCACATTTGTAGCCGACTGTCAGGAAGTGCATGGCTGGTACCCTAATTTTTCCCGGTCTCTTGTGTGTATGCGCACTTGGTGTCTTCATTCAATGGTAACGGAAATTAAAAATCCCATGGTAGTACTTGAAAAGAGAAGGGAGTTTCTCCCGGTGTCTGGCCAATAATCTCCAGATAAAATTGGTCATTCAGTTCATGGCTGCTTGTGGGACATTGCTGTTCACAAATTGGCGGCTGCATTGGCCTGCAAATACAGTTATCACACTTCACAGCAAATCTTGTGCTTTGAAATGTCTCAATGAAATGATAAGGCGCTATGTAAAATGTAAAGATAGTTATATTATTATAATGGGAATTCACAGGTATCCCTTCAAAGCAGCCGTACAATATTTTACATTTTAAATTTAATACAGGCTCATCACATGCTACACTTTATTTTGCTAAGCTGTTAAGCTATTTTGCCTTCAAATACACCGTTACTGCACTTGAGAGAAAACCTCTGTGAATTGTTTTGAGATGTTCTGGCCTGGTAAGGCACAATACCAAATGCAAAGATTATTATTTCTTTTTTTTTAAACAAAAAACGCACGTCTAAATGAACCCTTTGCTGAGCTGGAATAACTTTAACTTTCTGTGTTGCTCACAGAACAGCTGGTCATTCATGAACTCAATCCAAGGATCAAAACCAACATCTATTTGTAGAAATAAATAGAGACTGAATGCTGGGAATTGGACATAAAAATGCTTAAACAAGGGTAGGTTCATACACAAATATAAACTTATCTTTTAGATGCAGATTGTGCTACTATGCATTTCAGTTTTACTCCAAAGTCCATTCTATATTTTATCTTTCTAAACTTCTCCTGTGAAATTGCTGAGCAGAGAAAATATCACTTGTGTTCATATCTAGATGCTAAATCCATGTCAAAGCATTCTATGGCTTGGGCTATAGGGTGGTTCACACATAGAAAGGGGGGCAAAAACCACACCTACAATGGCACAACAGCCATTTTCAGCCATCTGACCAGTCTCCTGTCTTCCCGCAGTATTTTTCCACTTCCACTAAAGAGGAAGGGGGCCACAATATTCTATATGGATATGTTGTACATATAATAACAAGAACAATCCTTCCATTTGATACAGGCCCTTCGCATCAGAAGGATGTTACAAAGTGTCTCAATGGATTTACTGTACCAAATACAGGGATTATTATTATTGTAATGTGTTGGGACTGCTTTTTTGTAGGCAAAGACGGCTTGTGCTATTATGTGCAGAGGTCTGACGTTTTTGTACCAGATTTTGAAATAGATTCTTAATGTGGGGAAAAAGCAGGAAGCAGGCTGGATTCACGTTTCTGTTTTGCTGTAAATTCTGATGAAATCAGATTAAACAAAACATATTAAAATTGTATCAAATCGATGAGGTTTAGAATTACAAAACGGTTTTAAACCACTCGGACATTTGATCGAATGTTTTACGTGGGTGATTTTGATTGAGCAACTCTCTAAAAAATTAATAATTAATATCAGTATTATACAACAGGAAACAATTGCATGTTTGATAATAATAATCCTTACATTTGACATAGCGTCTTATCACATCATTGAGCCGTCGCAAAACGCTTCACAAAATATACTGTAAAGTGAATTGACTGTATTTTGTGGGAAAATTAACACTTTATGAAATATTTCGTGGAGCTCAATTGTGACTCAGTCAAATGTATATTCAGAAAATTTTAAGGATCTAGGCTTTTGCTCCAAATATTTTCTGTTTATATATAACAGACCATTGAAGAACAAAGAGAGTGGAAATGTTGTTTAAGTGCAATTGACTTATTTGGTCTTACCACTTTGTAGTGAGTGCGTTTGCTGCAATATTTTGCTGTAATATTGTATTTTCAATTGTTAGAATTGTTTTAACTGTGCATGTACACCAATAACTCTTCAATAAAACAATGCTTTTTATCCACATCAGTTTGGATTTTAAAAGAAAACAGTATCTTTGACTCACAGTGGACTTCTCAGGATACACCCCTGCTCGAAGAAACGATGCTTTCCAACTATCCACCTCCTCCTGAGTGTCACAAGCAAGTTCCAGATAACGGTAATCCTTGTAAACATTCCTTGAGGAAAAGTGCAACCAGAAAATGCTGTCAGCTACGCATCTCATCACTTAAATACTAAATACACACACATATATATATGCTTTCTGTGTGGTATACCAAGTATAGTTACAAAGTAAGAATTAAACATTAATATAGATTGGTTTCTTTTTATTTTGAGCCTTCAAGCAAAACAATAAAATTAAAGTATCGAAAGTAGAGCTAAGCATCATTCAGAGATCATAGCAGTAGCTAGATCTGCACAATGTGTAAAAGTTAAATTAAAGTTCTGTGGGTAGTATTTGACAGTCGTTACTGAGGATACTACAGGAATCAGTAAACCACTGCTCCACGTCATTTATTCTGTTTAATCAAAGGTTAAAAAACAAATTACACACACAAAACGCAAATCACATTTGTTAAATAGTTACTTTTTGCAGTCAGTTGGAACAATAAAATAATAATGAACATCAAATTGCAGTCATCTAGTGCCTTCCACATCAGAAGGAAGTCCGGAGGCGCTGGTTAAAAGCAGTAAAAGGACGAAAACAAGTAAATGTATCTATGATGTCCTGATAAAGCTATGATATCATGAAGAAAGTGTTACTTCATGAAATGACTATTTCATGGCTAATCTTCTCACATGTATGGTATTAACAACGCTTACTTCACACTACTGCACTACTGTTGTCATGATTGGTGTGGAAGCCAACAATTTAACCCACCAACCAGACAAGCAAGGAGGGTCTCCAGGCACTGAGAAAGATACTATTTCATAACCTATAAATACACAACTTCTATCATTGATCAATAATCTTTTGGAAAGTGTATGTGTGTGTGTAGTGACCTGTCTGCACTGTTGGTTAATGAGAACAGTGTCAAGTCGAGTCTAATGTACAAGTTATAGATGTCGAACACCCTGGAAATGGAGTCCATAGCTTTCAAGAGGGAAGAAGATGGGAATATGAGGAATATGGGGATAAAGTGGGACAATGGGACTGAAGTGGTCTCCTTGCTCTCTGAGCCAGTGCAAACTCAATGGGCCAAATGCCCACCTTCTGTGCTGTAAATTTCTATTTCCTGATCCAACTAATTAGTGCTTAAACAATTTATAATTTAACGTTTCATTTGTTGTCAGGTGCAGGTAATCTTTGCTTTTTTCCCCCCTAAGTAATAAATCAGTGTTCCTTTCATTTTTTGAACTTTATTTGTTTTAAGTTTCCATGTTCTACTGAAGATTTTGAACTGCTAGCCTCTTCCCACAACATTACAGAGCTGCTCAGCCAATGCCTGAAACTCCACAAGCCCAAAAGAAAACGCTTAAACTGGACAATAGACAGATAAGGCCTTGAATACAACACGTGTGCTTACAAAATGTCTGCGGTATCCATGTATATTCGTCCTCTATATTATTTAAGCAGGACAGAAATCTGTCAATAATTAGACTGCTTGAACAGGAAACTCAAAAATGAAAACCAGTTGAATTGTTCAGTGTGCCAGGAATTTTCTTTTTTGGGGAGAAGCAATAAGAAGTCTTTACCCATGAATTCCGAGCAAACTTACAAAATACAGAAGCCCAAAGGACAACATAAGAATACAAATATTACTAATGCACCTCTAATTTCATAAATAACCTTGCAGGTATTTATTTACTTTGCCGTAAATTTATTAAATAAATTACGTAAATAAAAGTATTTATTTATGTATGAGCAATAGACGAGGCTAAGTGTGTGCAAAAGGTTTTCATTTCCTTTATTAGCCACCTCGATTTAAAGCCGAGTGCCTAACTTGGCAACTTCACTCAAAATGTACTTGATTGTACTGAAACCAGATCACTGCCGAGAAGCATTTCTACAGAAGTTTTTTTTTTTAATTATAAGTATGAGGTTAAGAAAAATCATTCAAAACATCAGGAAATAGAACAAAAAACAACAGAAGCTCTTATTGTATCTATATCTGTGAAGTATTCAGGGTAGAATCTGTGGCATACAGAAATGAGTAAATCTTTTCCAACTCAATGGAAAAATTAAACTAATGAAAACCATTTAAGAAATAAAAACAAGACATTTTGCATTTTTGGCAAGTGAACAAAGAATATTTTTTTACCAACAAAAGTGCACGTATTGTTTTCATTAGTTTCAGTGTTAAGATTAACTGCACTCTGATGCACGTTTCCCATTCTATATCCATCTCAGTTGCCAGAAGAAGCTTTTTCTAAAGATGAGATCGAGAGGCATTTGAATGAAAAGGTGAGGTTTAGGAAGACAAAGTCGGTGGAACTCTCTCACTGTGGTGCACCGGAAGTAAATGAATTGCTAGCCAACGTGCTCAGAACGAACGATGAAAGAAGCAAACTTGAAAACAATTTATCGAAAAGGGGTCAAAATGCTAAGGGAGGTCAGTGTGACCACAACAGATCAAATTAATAATAATAGGATCACATTGGAGGACCAGAAGCTTCTCCTATAAGCCAATAATGCAAGTATTTGACCTTGAATTATACTTGGGAGTGGTTCTCGAGGAGCACCTTTTTTTTNCATAGGTCTCTTTTCAAATAGGTGACTGTGTTTCCAGGTATCGACATAGGTTTGGAGTTCCATAGGGCAATTTCAGGACAGAAATCAGGAAGAATTTCTTTACCCAGAGGGTAATTAATGACTGGAACAGGTTATCAGGAAGGGTGGCTGAGATGAGGGCGTTGGGATTCATTTTAAAAACCACTTCATGCTGTGTGCAAAGACAGGAGAATCGGTATTCTGGAGGGATGAGAACAAGTGGGTCAAAGGGCCTTTTCCATCCAAGCCAATTTTGCGAATGCACTTCTACAGATACTTATCAACCTGGCCCAACAAACATTATCAGTGTTTCCCCCCTAGTTTTCAAATCAGATCAGCTATTTTAGGGAAGACCAGGGATGATAACTGGGGGAATATTCTGGTCTATGCAATTTGGGATAGAACTACTTGTAGATTAATTTCACCATTTGGGTAAACCAATTTTTCTTCAACACACAAAATCTAACAATAAAATAAGCTAACAATGTTTAAACACCACATAAAAAGCAGAAAATCTGTGCATCTTCTGCTTACAGATCCAGGTTGAATATGTGGATTTCAAGCACATCTTTGTTTCACGTTTCCAGTGTCTGCAGTTTGCTGTTATTTCACACAGAAACTTCATTTTGTTTCCAAGTAAATGTTTTACCTCTGCTTTGTATTGAATAGTGCATATACACTTTTGCTGGACATGAAGCCTTTCTCCACATCTCGGATTTTCAGGTTGTCTAATGGCAGCATATATTTTTTCTCTTTTTCCTAGGCAGAAATAAATAGTGTAACTGGGAGAGGCACATTGATAAAGCCTTTTCTACTTATACATACAACTGAAAGTACACAATTTAAAAAATAACATTTATTTATCCATATAGATAAACATCCATTTATTTGATTCCGGATACTTTTTATTTGTGCATATTTGTGTAACTTACGCATATTTAATCAGGCGAATGAATACTTCTGTTTTTACTTTTATAAGTGCAGGGTTATGTTCCAAATGGATTGCTTAGCACCACATCACATCCAGAGTTTAGCCACTGTAATGTTAGTGTTCTGGTAAAGCCGCTTGTTGGAGAACTGCATACGTTTCTGGTCTCCGCGACATAATCATGCCACTCGGAGCTACAAAGGAAGTGCAGAATAGAGGCTGATCCCAGTGTTAGGACACAGCAATCTTATTTTTGAATCAACTCTTTGCTATTTTAAAACAAGCTTTAAATATTTTTATTCCGCAACTTAATCTTTGAAGCCGAGGCCATTTGAACATTCAATGTATTGTTACCTACAACAGAAGCAATTAATAATAATTGCACCTATCAATTTATTTTGCGCCATAGTCAATGTGGTCAGATCAGTGGGAATATCTGCAAGATATTACATAGAATGTTTGTATAGAGTGTTTATGTAGCTCTGCAGACTTCTATCAAATCTTGCAGTTTTTTTGTGAAATGGAAAGAAACAAAGTCAAACTTTCAAACAAACCAAACATGTCTTCATAAAGAGGTATTTTTATTTCATACCATCACAGATTTTTAATGGCAATCTACAACATGGCAGTGTTTCACTGGTCCAGATGCTTTGACCGCCATTTCTTGAATTGTGGAAGGCATTTTGTAGGTACCACAGGAGGATCAAAATAGTCACTGGTTTGATTGTGGGAGCAGCAATTATGTACCAGCAAAAGCCTTTTTTAAGGTCTGCTCAGAGCAATGAAAATGCTGGCAGATGTAATTCGATACAACTCAAAACTGGCAAATCAAATTTTGATGCTTTTTTTAAAAAAAAGAACATGAAAGCATAGAGCTCATGGTTTTCAGTGGAAAAACACGTGTATTGTTACTCAAGCATTCGGAGCTTACTGACTCCACTAACTTGATTATGGTAGAACACCCTTTATAGAGTATTATCTTATACATCTTATAGTTGAATTACGCTGAATAGTTATTGCATTTTATGCCTTTATGCAACCAAAGCTCTCGGCTTCAAAGCAATGAAGTCGACTCATTCCTGTTGAATTAATATCAGTTGAGCTCAATTACCACAGGGGTCTTCATAGGAATTTATAAGGTACTTCAGTTGTGATGTTATGATAATCGAAATTGGACTATGCTGACTTGTTAGAAAATTAGAAACACCTGTTTGAAAAGCAGAATGGAGAATTTCAGAAGTGAAGTTTTTTTTTCTTGGTTTGACAGAGAGTGATGATTTAAAGGATCTGTTTCTTCTGCTATGTTTATGCTAAACCCTCTGAGAGAAACTGCGTTTAGCCGAGAGCAGGAGGATCCGAACTGAATGTGATTGACCATGGGTCAAACTTGAGTGTTCCTTGCTGTGCTGTATTGAGTTACCAATAATATGCGATTATGCAGTTGCTGTATAATCTATTGCAACCCTTTATTTCAAATCTGCATTACAATAACAGAAATGAGTCAATTGCCAGTTGGCCATTCACTAGACACTGGGGGCGATTCTCCTCTCATCAGAAAATTTACTGTCTTTGGCAGGCAAGCAAGTCTTATTCGCTCCTGGTCAGTTAATTTACTGACCTTGGCAGTGTGAGCCTATAATCAGAGAATAAGCTGCGCTTGCTCGCCTGCCAAGGTAGGTACTTTTTCCAACAAGTAGATAATTTTTGAAGAAGTTAACCCTTAAACCACCAGCAGATGCAGGAAAGTGACCAATTTTCCTGGGTGGCTAGTTTGTGTAAGTTTTTTTAAGTTTAAATCTAAATTTGTGTAGATTTGCCGAACTGCTCATTGGTACATAATCTGAAAATTTAGGGTAACAATGGATGCCATACGTGGAAATGTGGTCCATTCCCAGCACTATCCTTTACCTTTGAGTGCTCGATGGACTCTAAATATTAATATATTTCAGATTGTCAACTGGGGGCTGAAATGGACTTTCAAACTGCTTTTAATTTCTCACTGATGGGATGCAAGTCTGTTCTCTCTCCGAGTTGGAAATATTCTTCATGAAATGCGTTTAGGCAATTTCAAGTCAGGTCCAAGTAGCTCAAAGCCCACAGAACAAAACTGGTCAGAAACTCACAATCCTAAGGATGTCTGGTGTGCAAAATTAGAGATACAGGAGTCAATAATGGAAAAGAGAGGGGTATGTGCTCCGGTATTAATGTTTATGTTCCAAGTACACTTACCAGCTTGGCACGCATTAAACAATGGCGCTCCACTTAAGCTGGTAACAAATGGCCGTTTATATGTGTGCTATGAAATATCTAATGTCCAGTGCCACTTTCACAAGGCCATGCAGAAGCTATTTTTACTTTCTTATGCATCCACTGGTCTCAGGGGACTAACTCATATCTATGAACAGGTGTAAGTTCACTGAACATAGCGAGCTATTTTGCAGTGTTCTATCAACTTTACTAACAAACACCTTTTTGTGGATCTGATCTGAAAGTTAATTAGACAAATTTAGCTGCTCTATACTAAGATTGTCCCATTGTACACGGACCCATACAAACGTAAATTCGGTATTAAAATTGCCAAGCAGCACAGACATGTAATATGAAATTGAATGCCAAGTTTATACTGTTGGAACCAATACTTATTCTAAAACTGAGCACATACAAAGTCCTCTGCTAACCCAGTGTTCACTTTCAGTGAAGAGCCAGCCAGACAATCACTTCTTTATCATTAAAAACGGTTCCTTGAAAGTTCTTGGCATTCCATTTACATAGCAGAAAGCAAATCGATTTGTACCATCTACATTTATACCATATTTCAGTGGAAATTGCTGCCAGGTCGAAACGACCACAAGTTGGTCTTTGCAGCCAGGCTCCCGCGCAAATCATTTTATGATGAACACATTTGCCCAATTTACACATTTTTAAAAAATGTCTCAAGTAGCATGAGGATTGACCACTGCCTTTCTCTGATTGGTTCTCAGTGCTATGAATTCTCTAGCATTGTCTCTAAAATCCAAATCAGGACTTTTTTAACAAAAATAGAGATCTTTTGGTAGAAATAATGTGGTACAACAGATCGAACAATTTGTATTTCTACATACTTTTCTAGAACAAGGGCAGATGGATTAAATTCAATACTAAAGCTTGGCTAGAATGTCTAAAGTGTGACTTCATTTCAGCATCTGTTACATGCAAATGATTTCTGGTTCTGCATGCAAAAGTTGGTGACTTACTGAAAGTATTTCATTGCTGTTGTACAAGCAATTTGAAACTGAGTAAGTTCACAAGTACTGTTTCGTAAATTATGCTTCTATGCATAAGTTGGTATTATTTACACCAAACTGACTGGCTTTGATTAAAGACCGGGTTTTCTCCTTCTCTTCACATAGTGTATTTTGTTACTGAACCAAATCAACAAAAATGCAGTGCTGGCTATTGGCAAGACATAACCTAGAGAGTCAGAATGTCTTAAAGCAGCTGGGAAGTATACTCAGGCTTACTCCACCATTTGATATTCACCCTAGTCTAAACAGTGTCTAATTGCAATGCAACTAGATGTTTTAAAGCTGTACTGTGCAACTGAACTTCACACAGCTTTATATCACACTTTTGTACATGATATTTAAGCATGTAATTCATGCAAATCACCTATTTCACAGAAGACGTTTTTTAGTTAAAAAAAGATACAAGTTCTTTGGCGATCGGCTAACAATTCAGTTAGCAAAGCCAGCCAAAATAGCTAACAGGAAATAGGAAGGCTACATGTGGAACTAATTACTCATGTGTAGGCCATGACAGAGAACATTTCTCCAGACTTTTCATGAGCTTCACTTTCAGGAAGTAGCTATAATTACTGTTCAAGTCTAGAGCATGATTCTTAGTACTGACAGTTCCAGCATATGAGAGGAGGCCATAACCCCTTTCTAAACTGAACAGAAACAAGAGTAAAACTGTTGCAACTTTGAAACAAATACAGGTAAATATAAGTACACTCCCTCACAATGAGTACTATTTACTAACCTAGACGTAGTTCAATTTGGATGATTGTTATGTATTTTCCTTAACTCTTCAGAATTACTACACTAAAATAGTTCATCTTGATTTTACAGCTTTTCCATACAAGGGGCCCACTTCCTGCCTCGCTAGAAAAAACTGGCCCAAAGATGAAATAACTGTTTAGCATTACACTAAAACATCTGGTACCATTTTATATACAGACCCATGTCTGAGAGCAGGCAATTCTAGCGGTCTCTCCAGCGGCACAGTGCATACCCAATCTCCCTGGGGTGACATCATCCCATATATGGGCTGCTAGGCCCAACCCTCCCTTTTTTCTTGTCCTAAATTCATTGCCAGATCTCCGTCTCCTGCAAATGTGCCACGTCAAGGCTGGAAATCAGAGTTCTTTTAGAGTCCAGTTATGCAGACCAGCGTATGCAGACAACAGTGGATGCTGATCTTGGTGTGCAGGTATAATTTCTTTGATGGCGAAAGACAAGTCAAAAGGTCCTGCTCCGTCGGCCCAGTGTTCAGACTACCTGTTCAGGACAATATTGTTGTACAGTAGTCTGCACATTGGTTAGATTGGGCATGGGAAAGCAGCAACTGTGACTTTCTTTTATAGTTTTCCAAGGAAGACAGAGGTGAACTGTGCAACAGTAAGAACAAATATTTTTATTTCTCCCAATTTGTTTTTCTTTGAAAGAAACAAGGTAAAGATGAGGAATCTCTTCCAATAGGAGGTCCTCAATGCGTAGTATAGGGACAGGAGACATTCTGCCTAGGCCAAATGTTGGACAAGACCTGGCCTATGACCTGGCGAACCTCAGTG